GGTAGCCTCAATCCGAATCTTGATTTCACCCATTTTAAATGTATATTTGCAGTTAAGGTTAATGTCCGTAGATTATTTAAAGGATAGGTCCACAATTTTCCAAGTCGGTCTTAAAACAATGGTCAGGTGCCCATATGTACATTCAAACAGGTTTTGCTTGCTGTAACCATTTCTCCTGTTCATACTGGCTATTAATATAAGTGGAGGCCAAAACATTTTTTCAAAAGTTTATCTGAAGCTGAATATGAGACTTCAGCAGTCTGAAGTCTCATATTCATCTGATGACACAGAACGCAATTACGCTCACTGAGTGGCAGAAAGACGAGCAGCAGTGTTAGCATACCAACTATTGTTTAAAGACAGACTTGAAAAAGCACAAACCTATTATTTAAGGTAACAACTATTGGAAGAAACAAAAAGTCACACACGCTGTTAATCTCTTGCACCAGCTTTAATTACAGCACTTTGGTCCATTCTGAGTTTTTGCTGAATGACTGAGGATCAAAACATCATAAAGATTATAACGTTATTTACAATTGTTTTGGAGTATTTCACAGTAAGAGTTTAACGTTAGATCCGATGGACGTGGTAATATAACATTCTGATGAGCAAAAACTTTGTAGTAAAGACTTGGCCAATCTTTAGTAATTTGCGTCCTAACAGATTCGCTGACATGTTTAGATACAGTAAGTTATACTGCATTTCCAAAGGTTTTTCTGGTCAGATTGTTTGATATCCTTTTATCAAAAATGTCGAGACAGAGCACCTAAAATGGTAGATAGCAGTTATTATATATTGTGATAGCCCTGATATCATAAACAGGTGGCCAGTAGTGAAGGGTTTTGTTTGTAGAGCCAACACATCGCCTGTCACCGTTGGTCAACTAATCAGTCTTTCCACCATAGCTGACCTAACTTCCCATTAACGGGTCGCAGATTTCAGTGCAAACACCTGGACGTCAGCGTTTAACCTTAACGTTACAGTGACTTAAAAGCTAAGAGATAGTTTGGTTGTCTAGCATTAATTACAAACAAAGTTGAAATGTACAGTGTATTAGTTTTTTCCTGCCCTATTTGATGCCTAGTTCAACCAGTGGCGTTAGCAAGCTAAGCTCCTAGTAACCGTCGGTTGTTAAGGAGTAACGGTAACTGTCATGTTTTTAGCTGTATTTTCATGCATTATCAACATTTAATTGAACCGAAGTAATTTAATATACCTTTCACATACAACTGAAGGCTCTATCGTCGTGGCACTGTTCTCTTGGTTTTCCTTGGCCACAGTCTGACAACTTGTGCGGACTGTTTTTGTTGACGGCGTGAAGGACCGCTCAAAAGTGGCGCTGTTGTGCCAGCAAAGCTTCCTCGCCCATTTTCTCTTCCTCACTGAGGTCAGTGTGAGTCCATGCAGGGCCCTGCTGCCACCTACCGAAGCGGGGGCAGACATGAACTTTTTTTTGTCTTAGTAGAAAAGGGTTAGGGTTAGGGAATGCAACACACAAACACACACAACACATACGAGATACAAAAGTACATATAGCCTGGGGGACTACAACAAAATAAGAGAAAAATATATTTAAAAATATATATTTTCACAGAAAGACCTTCAAGCGAGTACAGATATTAAGCACCTTCAGAGCCTTTTTGTTGGAAGAGAAACTAATTGTTCTAAAATAACATTAAATTTCTTTCTCAAATACTATAAATAGGAATTTTTTGTTTGTAAAATTGCATTTGTGTAAGTTTGCATGTTCTCCCCGTGTCCGCGTGGGTTCTCTCTGGGTACTCCAGCTTCCTCCCACCACCCAAAGACATGCAGGCTAGGTTAATTGGTGTCTCTAAATTGTCCTTAGGTGTGAATGTGAGTGTGAGTGGTTGTCTGTCTATGTGAGTCCCTGCGATGGACTGGCGACCTGTCCAGGGTGTACCCAGCCTTTCGCCCAATGTCAGCTGGGATAGGCTCCAGCCCCCCGTGACCCTGTAGCTACACAGGATAAGTGGTTGACGATGGATGGATGGAATGAAATAATGGTCGCAGTGTTGCTTTTCATTACTGAAAACCCCAAAAAGGACATTCTGCTGAAACCTGGAATCATTCTGACATGCCTTTATTTCATCATGCCTGGATTACTGCAACAGCCTTTTTACTTGTTTAACCCTAAAATCTATTGATCGACTCCAGACAGTCCAAAACTCAGCTGCCAGGCTTTTAACCAGAACAAATAAATATGACCCCATCACCCCTGTTTTAGCTTCATTACACTGGCTCCCAGTATGTTTAAAATTTTATTGATTACTTTTAAAGCTCTTCATGGCCTCTCGCCTTGTTATATTTCTGACCCCCTCGTCCCATACGCACTGGCACGTACCTTGAGTTCCTCGGCCAGAGGTCTGTTGTCTGTTCCAGAGTCTCAACTGAAAACTAAAGGGGATAATGCGTTTGCAGTCAGGGCCCCAAGGCTCTGGAGCAGCCTGACTGAGAAAATCAGGTCGGCTGAGTCAGTGGAGTCGTTTAAGTCCCTTCTTAAAACATACTTTGATTGGTGAGCCTTTCCCGATTTTATTTGACTTTATTTTATTTTATTTTATTTTATTACATTTATTTTAAACTTTTATTTTAGTCTCTTAAGTGTTTTCTTGCTGTTATTATGTATTTGTTTTTATTTATTGTATTATTTTTACACTTGTTAAAGCACTTTGTAACTTGTTTTTGAAAAGTTCTCTACAAATAAAGATATTATAATATTATTGTAATAAATGTATATACATCCTGCCAAAACTTTTTTACAAAAGTACAGTGCCAAAACAAATGTAATATTGTTTCTATGAGTCTCACAGAAGGTACAGTTAGACACATGAACTCCCTCCTCCCTCATTAATCTAATAGATGGCTTTGAGCATAGGTGTAATTTACACTGAGGACACTGGGGACATTAAAATATAGAAGAAACAAATGCGCACTGTCCACAAAAAGTAACTTAAGCTAAAAAAACTAAACAAAAAACAAGCTACTAATTATGTAGGAATCCAAAGGTAGGCCTACCTGTGTATAGTATTTCCATTTTATGTAAGTTTATGCATTTCAGAGGTACATAGTACTCCTTTCACACAAGTAAGTGGACAGTTACCTATAAATGTCCAGCGTCCTATGTGCCACACTAGCATGCTATATTGCCATGGAATCAGTCTTTAGAAGTATCTCATTGCAATCTGAAGTGTTGTACATGTGCAAGTTTTGACCTGCTGGTGGAGCTATAGAAAAAGTCAGCAGGATTTATCCTCTGGGAACATAAATGTTTCTGCAAAACTTCCTGACAATCCATCAAACAGCTGTTGAGATATCTCACTCTTAACCAAAGTGACCCACTTTCTACTCCACTACATTTGCCTGACAGCTTTAGTTACTTTTCAGATAACAATTTTGCATCCCCTTCCTATTGAATGAAATCCAAATCTAGTGATTTAGAATTAGTTTTTTTTTTGATAAACTGAAGGATTAAGTGGTCATTTGTGGGTTGAAAAAATTATCTGACTTCTTAAGCTAAATAAAAAAACACACATTGGCTCAGTTGGAAAGTGCATTGTCATAAAGCTGACAACAGCGCTGTGCTGAGCTTATGAAAAGACTTTACAAATACATGGGGTTCTCACAGGACAGCAACACTACAAACATGATCTTACAGAATATGATGCACTGCTGTATTGTGCTGATTAAACAGTATATAAAGTATAGTGAAAATGAGCCCAAACTTAAATAACTACAGCTGTAAAATGCAACATACACGTTAAAAAAACACAACATACAAAACATAGGTCTACTAAATAATAAAACACAGACAGTGACCATTTTTTGCATAATGAGTCTTTTGCTGGTAATACTTAAATACATTTATTTATGTAAAGTTTTGAATGCAAGGCTTTTACTTTAAGTGGAGTATTTTCAGTGTGGTATTGCTACTTTTACATAGGCTAAGTATAACATCTGAATACTTCTTCCACCCCTGTGTGTGACAATGCCAAAAAGGAAAGTAGAGGACACATCTATGTATTTTTGGATGACAAGAAAGTGTACAATAGATTTTAAATGAACAACCCTTTTTCATTTAAACAGTATATGCATTAGTTAGAATGATTTGATTGAGACACATAGTATTTTATATGAAAGAAAAAAAAGAACAAAACTGTAGTCTTAATCTTTGGGGCAAGCATAGTTTATATCATTGTTAAACTTTGAGTAAATAATATCTTGATGATATGGTATTATTATTCTACATCATCATTATTTATAGTATCTATGTACTACATGCACTACTGGACCTGGAATCAGAATTTCTGCACATATATTTGCAAAATTTTCTACACAATGCACAATTCATGTATTGTGTATATGTGCTGCCTCTGCCTTTTCTTGTGCTGATGTGATGTGTGAATTTCCACCCATGAGATCATAAAAGCCTATATGATCTTGTCTGTTGTCTAAATTAATAAATCTGAACAAACGGCCATTATACAACAAAAGCAATTTACAGAGTTTGGTTTCATGTGATAAAATTAGATTGGAACACATTGTTGCTTTTAACCTCAGTTTGATCATATTAAATGAGACTCATCAGGCTGGAAATATGCTTAATTCTATTGCATTAATGATTTCAACCACATCATCAGTCTTAATGATCAATTCCGTAATTATTTGGTTGAGAAGCTGTACAGTACAGATACAAATCAATACACAGAAACATTTACATCATGTTGTCATGAATGTTAAAATCATTCGTTAATTTTTTTAATGAGCATCACTCCATACTCCACTTGACAATCCAGTAAAATCGGCTCCAACAGAGTCCTCTATTTTTTTTTCAACAGAGTCCTCGCGGTGGTCTGGACTGGGCGGATGTCGTCGTCGATGGTCTATCTTCTCGTCTTTCCTTTGAGTCTTAAACGCATCACGACAACGCCCTCTCTCTCGGTTTAGTCGAAGCCCATTGGTCAGTGCAAGCGTCAATCAAACGCATTGGCTCGCTCTATTCCAGTAATCCCAACCTTAGGATACATTGGGAATGGTGGAACCATTACTGTCTGGGACAGGTTATTTAAGAAGCCGGATTATTGTACATATAACCGAAACACAACTGAAAAGGATATCTTCCTAAATCGAAGGTAATTTTGGTGTTATTTGTGAACTCATAATAACATTTAATGTTAGTTCGTAGATTGCAGCTAACAGTTATAGCTAGCAGCAGTGTTTTTCCAAACATGAGTGGCCTTTCTGCGTGTGTGTGGTGGGGTGCTGGCTCGCTAAGTGAATTCAAAATGACCTTTATAACTCAGTTTGTCCAATTTAAGTACACTAGTGCCCTTGATAAAATGTTGTTAAAAATGATAACTAACGTTACATTTAACGTTGTAAGGAAACCACCGTCTGTCCGTTGTTTGTGAGACTTTTAACGGTAATTTATGTTACCCATCATGTTGTCCAGCTGCTAACTAATGCTAATGATGCAAACCGTCACGAGATGATGCAGTTTGGGATACCTATGTATTAGCCACTTTTCCTGGAGGAGAAGAATCAGAGTCAAACAATTTCTATTACACATGGATCTTTACTAGGTGTTGAGTGAGCAGCCAAATAATAATAATAATAATAATAATAATATTGTGTAGTTGGGGCCCCAGAGGTGTGATGTACACTATGATAATGTATTTTCGTCGTCATGGTTGTTTTGCTCACAGATTGATAAATCAGATTAACAGATTACCCAGCCAATGTGCTACACTATGGATCCCACAACTTGTTCTCAAAAAGATAAGGACCATCAGTTTTAAACTAGTGAAGCTACCCTGAAAAAATAAAGGTTAGAAAAAAACTAGGCTATATTGCAAACAAATATATTGTGATGCTCAAATATGGTCTGCAAGCACAAAAGAAGAGTTGTTGTGTCTCTGCAAACAGAAAACTGGGTGGGTATATTATCTCATGATATATACATAAGATTTAGATCATGTAATAAGATGAAGAAGCCTACTCAGCAGATTGCTACTTTTACAGGTGACAGCTCATTGTAATTATTATTATTATGAGATGATTTCAGCCCTATAACACTTAAAAAAAAAAAAAAAAAAAGAATAAAGGTGCTTCTAAAGGAGATGGTTAAAGTGGATCAGCTATCATCCCATCAGTATGTTACAGTGATATTGTCTGCACCTGCAAAGGGGAGACAAATGCTGCCTGTTAGTACATTGTAAACATTTACATGTATTTGCTTGGTCATCTACAGTATGGGTATTACCCTAGATACTTTTACCACTTCTCCCTCCCCTGGTGCAGTCTTCCCCTTCAGTTTTTCAGCAATAAGGAACAGGAGTTTTTTGTGCTGTATCGTGTTCCTAATGTCATGATGGAATAAACATGTTGTAGTCCTATATGAGGGTGCATTGTAAAACAGTTGGTTAGTTTTCATGCTACATTCAGTCTTTCTAGCATGATTCAAGACTAGAAACACTGAACATTACTCACCATAACTGGATGAATGTAAGGCGTCTTCTTGTACCTGGCAGGACAATAGCGGCCCTGTTTGTGTTTTTTTTTTAACACCAGTCACTTGGCTGTGTTTATGCTAAAAAAGATCAGACTAGTTTGTCTTTTGGGTGAGGTGGTTGGGCTGGCATGCTTTTGGTGCTCAGTGTATGTTTTTAATTGTCTAAAGCCAGTCATTTAGAAGCAAACATCTAAAAGCAAATTGTGTATTTTTAAAGTGACTTTTTCCCCCCATTTCCTGTTGCTTTAGATTTACATTTACATTCATAAAGGATTACAGGGAAAAGGGAAGGAAGGAAACGGCGTTTGGTTGAGTTCCAAAAGCTACACACGCACAGAGAACTGAATGTCCCTTCTCCACTGAGGTCAGAGCACCGACATTTCACACTGACACAATCATCTGTTAACTCTCTCTGGTTTTCACTTATTATCTCAGTAGCATCCGGTCTTCCTCTTGTCCCATTCAAAGGTCAGGCATAATTAGCAGCAAACTAAGCTCGTGTTTCAAAATGCCACCACACTTATAGTATACTAGAGGCCCTCTGTGCTTATTTCTTTGGTTCTGGTGGTTGTCGTATGACAGCGTAATGACAGTGTTGCTGAGTGTAGGCCGAGAACAAGTCTTGCCTGGGTTTGGCTTCAGCTTCCATCCTACATACTTTTAGTAAAGACAATGCTATCAGATGTTATGATCTTTCTTTTCTTTTCTTTTCTTTTTTAATGTAGTTGTGATCGTAAGGTGTTTTTAAGGGTGGTGGCTGTGTATGCAAATGTATAAAGATAAAAAAAACTCTTAGGTCATATCTACTACTGCCTGGGGCAAAATACATATTGACTAAACACAATCTGATGTCTGTTGTGTGATGAAACTTTAAGCTTGTTGTAGTGTTTTCCATGAGTAAGTTTTTTTTGTTTTGTTTTTTCTCCAAGCAGTGTAGTGTGTAGTAATTTTGGCTTTGGCTCTTGTTCATTTTTATTTTTATCCTGGTTTTGGTTGAAGCAGGGATGTCATTCAGGATGTCTTTTAGACTGAAACTAGTGCTGAAGCAGTTGATAGGTCAATCAGTAGATTGACTAAATATTAATCAGTGACTTTTTTTTGTCACCATTGAAACATCATTTATCATATATAAATATCAAACCTTTGAGACAAGACAAAACAAATAAAATGGAAACCTGTAGTGGCCATTTGTTATTATTCTTTATGACATTTTACCCAAAATAATTTGATTTAACAAAAATGAATCTATAAATGATGTGATAGCAAACCAGGGCGATGTTAGCTGAAACATAAAATGGTCATTATGTGAAGTAAAGTAACCCAGCCAACACACATACACACTCACTGAAAGAAAACACACATCATTTTGCATGTGCCAGTAACTGTGGATATATTCAGATTTCACAGAAATAGTAAACTAGGGACAAGCAAGGCCTTTTGAGTGAATTTGGAATCTGAAAAATGATTTGCATCAGAGGGTAGTAAAGTCCTGCACAGTGTATTTTTCATGGGAGTATACCTGAACAATTTCAGTGGCAAAGGGCTGCCTGACATGGCTGAATAGTCAAACAGAATGGTGGCAAAGTCCATGTGGAGAGAGGAGGCAAAATCCAAATCATGATGTTGTTCTTTTTAGGTGAGTCTGTTCTTTCCTAAAATAGGACTACAGCAGGCATACAGATGAGGTTTAGGCTTGGTTTTATAAGCAGCAACACTACCCATGTAGATTGTGGTCATATTCATTACTGCTGCAAGGACAATGACCAGTGCCCAGCAGAGAAGTATTGATTTGTGTGTTGGTGTACATTTGCGGCTATCAGTTTCTTGGCTAGATTTCCCAGAATCTACTGTTTTTTCCCGACTTCCCATCAGTGCACTATGTTTGTTTGTTTTTCTGTTCTTTTTATATCAAGTCTCAGGTGGTTGTAGGATATATTGAAGTTGGAAAAAAAATTCTTCTTTAGGATTCAGGACCTCTAAATCAAATAACTGCTCTTTTTATGTTACTGGCTCAGAAACCATTTGGGTGCATGCACATACGTGTGAAACGTTGACTCCGAACAGCTGTATTTATGTTGAGCCATGCCTCCACATTTCATCTGGAGGTGATGCTTTTTAAACTAGGGACACACTAGAAGCCTTTTAAAATCACTTGTGTTAAGAAGTGTTCAAACTGATGAAATAACATTACATATAAGGATTGTAGTGATCTTTTTTTGGCTTCAGAAATTACTGCTGTGTAGAGACTCTGCAGTATTTACATTGTATTAATTTAGCAGCAGCCCGCCAGTTGTTCTACTGCCATAAAAATTCACAATAATATCTGTTGTTGTGCTTGTACAAAACAAACAACTGGAGTTTATATGTAGGCTTCATGTCTGAATAGGAGCTCACTTAAAACAAGATGTGAAACCACTTAAGAAGCCAGCAGGAAAAGCACATCCAAGATTTGAAATTCCTCTCTTACTCTTGCACCTTTCTAGTCTTTTCGACCACTCAAAGCGCTTTTACACTACATCTGCATTCACCATTCACACACAGAGCCTAAGTGCTCAAACAGAAATGATCACATTCATGCACTGGTGGAACAATCGCCAGGGGCAATTCGGGGTTCAGTATCTTGCCCAAGGACACTTCGACATGCAGCCTGGAGGAGCCGGGGATTGAACCGCCAACCTTAACGGGCAACCCGCTCTATTTCCTGAACCACAGCCCGGTAAACAGTAAAGAAATGCACAATAAATAGATAGTACGTAATAAAAATAAATGCATAAAATATAGACCTGGTAAATAAAAGTTAGCCAAACACTGGTCTAAACAGGGGTGTTTTTCCTGCCTTTGGAAGTAATCCACAGAATTAGCAGACCGTTAAGGGTGCCGGGCAGAGCAGTCCAGAGTTTGGGTGCTGTTGCCTCTAAAGCTTCATCACCACAGGGCCTAAAGCGTGTGTGCGTGGGAGAGACAACAGGTTTTGCTTGTTAGACCTAAGAGAGCGAGCTGATGAGTAAGAGGGTAGTAGTTCAGTCACATATGCAGGACCGTGCAGTGCTCTGCAAGTAAAAATGACAATCTTGAACTGGATCCTATATGCAAAAGGGAGCCAGTGAAGAGATCTTTGTATAGGGGTGGGGGACCTTGTGGCAACGGTCTGGGTTACCTGCAGAAGATCAAAAGGCAGATATGCTAAGACATGATAAGTGTATCACAGAAGTTGATGTGAGATGAAATGTATGCGTGTACAAGCATCTCTACAGATCTCAGTTCACTAATATTTCTTATTTGGACAAGATGTGTTTTGTTAAAATGTTCACACTTCACTGGTCTTTTTAATGTATTAAAAGGTTTTTGAAACGTCCCCTGGAATATTTTTTTAATCTGACCTACACAGGAGCTTTATTATTTACAGAACACTCTTGTTTTTATCAATGATTGACTGGGTCTAGATGAAAATGAAACTAAACTAAGTGCGACTTGGAATGAAACCTCAAGCAGGCAGTTGGATAAACAAGCTGAAAAGCTGCTCCTGTCCTCCTTCCCCGTAATGTAAGCTTTCTCTTTGGAATCGGTGTGTGTTTGTTTGTGTAGCTTCATGTGAAGTGCCATCATGGGCTGCAAGTCTTTGGCACATGTAGCAGCTTGTTTTGCCCCTTTCACTCTGAAAGGAAAACAACTGTAAATCATCCACCATGGTCTTTAAAAAACATTTCCAGAAATTGGGAGCAATGTTGTGTTTTATTATTGCATTGTCATTTTTAGGCAGGTTAGTATTTGACTCTCTTATAAAGTTACCTGTAATGGATTTTGCATGTGTGTTTGTGTATGCCTGTGTTGATTTTTTTACATGTTGTTGCAGTAACGTGCTTGGCCAAGAGCATTGTTTAATCAAGCTACCAATCTGTCTGAGGCCTGCCCCAGCCTGTCTCAAGGGAAACCAGACAGACTGCACCAAGTATCTATGACAGTTAAACACACAAATAACAGAGAATTAACTACACAAACGTGCACGTGCAGGCTCATTAAGGCCGAGACTCATATTAAAGTTATTGCAACATCTCCTTTTGTGTTTTAATCAGGCATGATGCTTTTGTTGTTCTGGTTTTAGAGAATCACGTAATGCACAGGCTAAGCTTTGACCTTGTATTCCCTATGTAGATGTTTTTGCAGTAACCTGTTTTTTTCAGTATGTCCAGCTGAAACCATTTGTATGCCCATTGTTACATTTATTTTTGCACTATTACTAATATGATTTTGTTAAATCCATCTGTATGCAAGTATTGCATTGCAAGTATTTGACTACTGAAGTAATAAGGGCTTCAACTAACGATAATTTTCATTATAGATTAATCTGCTGATTATTTTCTGGTTTCATCAAGTAATCATTTGGTCTTTAAAACTTCAGAAAATGGTCAGACCAACAGTCCAAAAAAGATAAAAGGTTTATTATCACACAAGATAAAGAAAAGCAGGAAATCCTCACAATTACGATGCTGAAGACAGCGTTTGGCATTTTTGCTACAAAATGTAATTATCAAAATAGCTGCTGATACATTTGTTTCATCTCTGTTCTTAATCTTGTTAACTTGCTGTAAATGTTTCAGTGAACAGTACTGTCACTTATCACTTGTTTATTCCATAACATCGCTGTAGTCACCAAGTATGCAGTTGTAGCGGACAGCCAGCGAGCAAGTTGTGACAGCGCAGCTTTCTGGCTAAAGGTGCCTGTGGAAGGAGGTGTGTAGATACTAAAAATGGAAACATTGCTACCTTCAAATTCACTTGTATCTTATTTGCTCCCAGCTGCCCTGAAATTGGTGTGTTTGAGCAAAGGTTTGAGTCTGAGGGTCTGTCATGCATGCAGTACAAATGAAAGCTCCTGTGTACTTGGAAGGTGGCTGGTAGTTGATAGTTTGGGAAGTGTGCTATTCATTTCTGAAGTAATGTTTCACAGCACAGTGTAACTTTACGCATTTGGATGTATATATCTGATTTAAATAATACTGAAACTGAAATGATGCTGAAAGTAGAAGTTAAATGTGCTTGAACGTGTAACACTAAGGCATGTTCATTTGTACAGTACCTAATAAGTTCCAAGTGTTGAGACCTCCAGCTGTCAGTGTTCTTTGTCCCCAGCTTTACTGTCTCTGTCTACTTGATCACCATCTGGCTATTCACAATACTAGCCTTCAACATTTGAGAAGAGGAGAGGTGAATTGGATAAGCAACACATGCAAGCTTTATATATAACAGCATTCTCTGACTCGTGTGTTTCCACATCTTGCCTGAAAGCAGCCACCTGAGAGATGTGTTTTCTTGTGTTAATGTAAAATGTGGCTCTTTTCCAGGCAGTGGTACATCTGGTTACATTCATACAACCTACACAGTTGGCAGGGAATCATTGCAGATATTCAAAACTGTGCGACAGATTGTAGCTCCTCCCCCAGAACTGACAAGAGCAAACTAACCAAATCTCCAGAAACATTTTAGGACATTTCTGTGCATGCCAGAATATTCCATGAATAAGGGCATCATGTTGGTATGACCACCACTTTAGTTTAACTGCTCTCAGCCTGACACCACCTTGATAGTATAAATAGCACTGTGTGTTGACATTCAGGGAGTTTTTAATTTAAACAAAATAGGTTTTCCAGTTAGCTGACAAATCTTTGCTTTCTCCGCTTGAATTTGGTTGAATTTCCTCGTAGCTTAGGTGTTACCTTTTCTTTTTTTAAATAATGTTTGTGTTTTAGCAGATCTCTACATTTACCATTGTTTTTTCTTCTGCTGTCTTTCCCCACAGGACAGCCTCTCTCTGTGTCTTGCCTCTCAGGATGTCTAGCATGGTGTTACTGTAGTGAAGGGTCCACCACCTTAGCATTAGTAGACAGTAACTCATTCAGCTGATCACCATGCCTTGCTTGGTCAGTCCCAGCTCAAAGCCCAACTGGAGCCCTGTCTTGCTCATCTGTGTTCTCCTGGGCCTCTCATCTATACACATTCTTGCTAAAGATGGTAAGATGGTAACTACATTATACCTGTGACATTCTGAGTCATGGCCAAAAATATGGGCACCACTGCATGTTTGTCACATAATGCACTACTTCTCCCAGAATTTTGTTGCCATTACAAATGCTTTGGTATTCTCATGCTTATTTATTTTGTTTGCATTGGAACAACACAAAAAAAGCAGAGAAAAAAAACACACATCTGAAACATTCCACACAGAACTCCAAAAATGGACAAAATGATTGGCACCCTCAACTTAATGTTTAGTAGCACACCCTTTTAAATAACTGAAATCAGTCGCCTCGTGTAACCATCACTGAGTTTCTTACACCCCTGTGCTGGAATTTTGGACCACTCTTCTTTTGCCAACTGCTCCAGGTCTTTGAGATTTGATGGGTTCCTTCTCCCAACTACTTGGTGAGATCTCTCCACAGGTGCTCTGGGATTTAGATCTGGTCTTACTGCTGGCCACTTATGAACTCTCCAGTGCTTTGGGGTGCTTTTTGAAGTATGCTTGGGTCCTTGTCCTGCTGTAAGATGACTTTCTTTATCCACGAACAACCCTTTGTTGCAATCTTTCATCAATTTTTTTGCGCACAGTGACACAGAAACATTAAGATGTCTGGAGATGAACTTGTAGCCTTAAGATTGTCCATGCTTTTCCAAACTTTTGGTTCTTGAATTCTCAGACAACTCTTTTCTCTTCTTTCTTTTGTCCATGCATAGTGTGGTATACACAGACACACAACTCAGAGGTTCAGTTAACCTTTCTCCATTTTAACTGGTTATAAGTGTGATTTCAATATTTCCAGCACATGTGAATTGCTACAGGTGAGTTTATTTATAAATTAAAGGAGCATCACATGCTTGAAACAATTAATTCTGAAGATGGTGGAAAGGTGCCAAACTTTTGGTCTAGTCCATTTTTGGAGTTCTTTGTGCAATGTGTCAGATTTGGCTTTTTTTGTGTTGTTCCAATGCAAACAAAAAAAGAAACATGAGAATGCCAATGCATTTGTAATTGTGACAATAGCTGATTGAAAAGCTGATCTTTGCTGATTTAAACTTGTGTTGAGTCTGTTTATTAATCACGTCCCAACCGCTTTTTTCTCCAGTGCCTTCTGTACCCCAGCAGGTGAGCCTGTCAGCCAACATGCTTACACAGCAACTATCCATATCCTGGCTGGGAGGAGCGGCCACAACCTTTGACCTCATAATTCTAAGAACTGAACTCAATGAAACTGTCTTTTACGTAAGAACATTTATTTTTTTTGTTAATTTGTTATTAACAAATTTATATTACAGTTTGGTACATTCTCACGTGAAAGGAGCCTACAGTGTAGCCCGGCCGTTTTTTGAGTCTGATATTTGAGAGCTTAAAAAATCTGATAATTATATACCAGCCAATATTTGTTTTTTGTTTTTTAAACATAAACTCGCTGGTGGGCAAACTATAGAAGGGTGATGCTGCTTCAAAACATATCTTTGGCATCTCTGTCAGATTTCTGCACTCTAAATTCTTGTCATTTATTGGCTGATACAGATATATATGTGCAATGAGCTAATTATTGGCCATTTTCTCAGACTCTAAAAGCAGCTTTCAAAGCCATATTTAGTTAATTTGCCTCTGCAGCACATTATATAATAATTCAGAAGAGTTGGTTTGTTTTCCTGCTTGAACTATGACTGTCATCACCAACAGTCATCTACCAGCTTCATGTTGTGCTGGTTCATTCCCTCACTGTGTTTTGTGTATTACCTGTAGGAGACAGTGTCTGTGGCAGTGAATCAGGTGAGTGGTCAGCACCAGTGGAACTGGACCTCAGTTGAACCTCTGGAGTGTACCTCGCTGTCGATCAGAATCCGCTCAAGAGATGGACAGGCGACAAGTGAATGGAGCAACACTGAGATTCTTCAAGGTCAGACGGGCAGTAATTACACACATAAATACTGCTTTGACTGACTTGTCAATTTGGGATTAACGTACTGCTTAGTTCAGTGGCAGTGAAGGCCATTTCTTATTCAAATTCTTTTTCTCTCTAGAATCTCACTCTTAAGCCAAACAAATGACTTTCCTTTGTGCCTGAATATAGATCTCTATTTATATCTCTTCCTTCCTTCCTTCCTTCATTTGAAAATTTTAAACACTGCTCTTTTCATTCTCCCTCACTCCTTTTCAGGAAACGATCTCCCCAGCAATGAGAAATTCCAAATGTACCCCCAGGACAGAGTTGCACCTGTGGGGGCCAACACCACCTTCTGTTGCATTGTAGAAGAGGGGAAGTTCTTTGGAACCATCACCTATGGCACCATAGCAATGAACACAACACGACTGAGTAGGCGAAGTTACGCCACTACAGCAGTTAATCAGGGACCAACCAACAGTACGGGAACCAACGTCTTCTGTCAGAACAACCTGAAGACAGGCGTGACTGGAACAGTGGTGTTTGTTGGATGTAAGAAGAATGGCTAAGAACTGTGTGATTCGTTGTCATGCCTCAGATTGGTTGGAGTGGCAGAGAGAGAGAGAGAGAATTCAAGAAATGATAGATGTCAGTGTAAATGCAGTTATACAGCCTGTGAAATGGTTTTATATAAGAGTTTATCTGAAGAGATTATTCTTCCAACTTGTCTGTTGGTGGTAAAGATGACTATGTGAAGTGTCTTTCTCTCTTTTAGATAAATCTAGGTAATTATTTATATCTATGTTTATTCATTTAAATACAATTAAGCAAGTAACTAAGTTTCTACTTGTCCCCTTCCCCAGATCCTCCACTGCCCAGTGATTTTGTGTGTGAGACTCGTGACTTAATCTCAGCTGTGTGCCAGTGGAACCAAGGACGAGACACACATTTGTATGGCAAACGAAGAACACGCTACTCGCTGAATAACAGGTACCAGAGCTGCACTCGCAAAAAACAATAAGTTACTTTTAAAATTAGCCAAACCTCAGCTGCGCTTACATGTGTACGGAATAAAACGGCAAGCAACCCAACCTGTAACCTGATACTTTGTCGAAACTGTATGCCGCGGGTTTGGTAGCAGAACTACACACACTGACTCATTCACAAAAAGAAGACTACAGATTCGAGAGTAGGACACAAGCTCAACACACTTGTGACACTTCTAAGATCAATTTATTAATAAATCACAATCAGGAAAAATATTTTATAGTAGGGCAGCTTTTAGTATTCATGCTTAAATCATATACGTGCTATCACAAAATCGTTTGGTTGGTGGGCTTTGCTTTCATATCACAAAGCAACTGTACCATAGTTAGTTGGAACCAGACTAATCTTATCAGGTGGTCTCGGTATGGTTATGCAGTCAACACCAACGAACCAACAAATGGGCAAATGCCAACCAAACCCAACAAGTTAAGTGGAAATTACCATAAGATTTTATCAGTTATTGACACGGTGAAAAAAAATCCTACATAATCAAACATTGGTATCTGTATCTGACTTGCATCCAAAAGCATAACACAGTGTGTTGGAAATCTCAGTGGATAGGGGTGGCAGTGATGCTTTTTTTTTGGCCAGATTCACAGCAGTTTAGGGACAGACCAGGATGTGATACAATGTCACTTTGTTTTTGACTGAATATCCTTGAATTATTTATGATTGTTCCCATTCCCTTTCTGTTGTTTTCTGCCCAGAAAAAAATCAACCAAGAGAAAATCACAAGAAGTGTAAAGCACTTAGACTAAGTAACCCCTTGCTGCTTCTTTGCATCCATTTAATATTGATAGTGGATTGGCTGTCTGCCAGAACTTTTACAGGAATTGGCTGAAGGCTGACCAGAAGAGAAGTTACATTATGAATGTGTTAAACTGTAGTTTAGATTGAGTATCTAAAGTGATCGTATTTTATTGTAATTTAATTTGGTTGTTTTTATTTATGCGCTGTTAGCAAATCCACTGTTTATTTTTAATCTGTTATGTTTGTGTTATAGGACCTGTGCTAGTGGCAGCCTGCTGCAGCAGAACAAGTGTAGTGTGGACCAGTGGGAGGGTAACTGGAAATTGGTAGCTGTGAATCATCTTGGCCAGTATAGCCTCACTGACTCTGCTGAACTGAGTCACAGAGGTAGGTGTATTTGCCCTTACCTTATGAAAATCAATTGATTGATACAGAAGAATTCTTATAAAGTTGATTGTTGAAAGTTGATATTTATAAAAAAAAATTCTAAATACTATACTATATTTTAATTAATTAATTTTTTTTTTACCCTTCCAGTCCATCCGTTAGCACCAGCTAACCTGACCTCTGTTGTCCATGAATGGAATGCCACTCTGCAGTGGCGGTGGACGTACAAGAGCTATTCCTCCCTGGCTCTTGAGTGCCAGGTAGAGCTTACCTCTGAGGGGTACAAAACAATGGTGAGTTGTCTGTGTGTGTTGCATGTTTTTATATCCCGATGGGGACTTTAACTTTAGGTTAATTAACGTTAAGGTTAAGAATGCAGTTGTGATGGTTAGGGTAAGGGGCTAGGGAATGTATTATGTCAATGAGATGTCCCCAAGGGGGATAGAGGAACAAAGTGTGTGTGTGTGTGTGTGTCAGGGGAAGACCACTTGTTTTGCTCTGTCTGTTTCAATGTACAGAACCTTTTTTTCTGTCCATCTTTAATAGTCCTGGTTCTGTATATGTAGTACTACAGTCAGACAATACCACTTCCATTCTTTCACTACATTTCCATTACGACATACCTCATTAGTTTCAACAAATGCAAGCTTGTATCTGCATGTTATCTCCATTATTGTGACATTTGATATACCAAACAGTAATGAAGTCTAATTCATGTGTCCAGCATACCTTCTCTGGTGTGGGTCTGCAGTCGGTGGTTCTATCGGACCTGTATCCTGATGAGGATTACAGTGTTCGAGTCCGCTGCGGTGCTCAGCAGAACCGCTGGAAGTGGGGAACCTGGAGCGATTCATTTTCCTTCAGAACCAACACTTATGGTAAGAGGTATATTTGTGGTATCTCTTTATTTTAGCAGAGTTTTCAGTGATTTAGGGCTGCAAGTAATTTAACTTTTTTATTACTGATTTATGTATTTTTTTAGTGTTTAGAAAAGCATAAATAATCAATTGATTATAAATAGTTGACAACAATTGTTGTCGATTAACTTTCTGCAGATGGACCAATTGTTTCAGCCGTAATATAAATCGACATCAGTCAAGTGTGCTACCAGCATGCTCAGAGCAGTTCATAATGACTTGATCTTAAATCTTACTAATTGCTAGTATAACTAAATGTTTCTTACTTATAAATTGTGATAACTTGTCAGTAACAAAAGACAGTAGACATTTTTTTACTGTAAAGCCCTTCTGTGAAGTCAGTGTGTCCATTAAAAGCCAGTCAACATTTCTTTAAATATGTCCTTTTTTTATTTTTAGTAGTCATCTTCTTTTTGCTCTGTTTATTTCAGCAGTAGAAATGTCACTTAGTTTTTATTATGAAACAGCAGCAGTAGTGCCATTTTTCTTTTTCATTTGTATTTTTTTTGTCTTCTCAGTTCCAGATTCTCCTGATGTGTGGATGTGGATGAACAGAAACAACACTGGGCAGGTCGTTTGGAAGGTAATTTTAGTTTTTTCATCTTTGAAATAAATTGTTTTAGATTTAGATTGCAGTTGTTATTTTTTACTGTGACAAGCATAGATTTACATCATGATCAAGTAAACTACAATCAGATGATGAGCAAGTGCATTGCCTGTCTGGGTTCTTCTGCTTAAGTCCTCATTTATCCTTTGTGTCTGTGTCGTTTCTTCCTTCTTCCTCCCTTTACTCTCATTCTCCATTTTGGCATAAAGAAGCTTGACGTGTTGTGCATCATGAATATCTGACATTGTATATAAATGGTGATTTAAAATACGCTTTTTCTCTCTCCACCATTTCACTTGATTTCTTCTAGCCTCTGACTCGGAGACAGAGTCATGGTCAGATCACAGGGTACGAAGTTACTTTGTGGAGCCCTGAAGAAAATCTACAACACACTGAAACCTTTTCACCGGATACTTCTGTTGCTCCAATCAACCTCACTCAATTTGCTACCTTCAGCAGTGACAAGGTCATAGCAACCGTCATTGCAAAGAATGCTGATGGGGTGTCTCAGCCTGCAAGTGTACTTTTACCTCTACGTTTGACAGGTATGTGGAAATGGAGGGGAGAGTGTGTTTGGAAGGGTTTAGCAAATAAGAAGCAAGTAATAAGGCAAAAGGTGATTGGTTTTATTTATTCTCAAAGGCACAAGTTTAGAGATATGTTTAGTCACGTTTATAGGTATGTAGGGCAACTGGGTGATGGGTTTATTTGGTTCCAACAGTCATGAAACACAGTCAGTTAGTTATAAAAGGAGAATATGAGGACATGCGGTTTTTATATTCCTTTATGCATATTTTCTTCTTTCCAGACGTGGAACCCCTAGCTGTGTCCAGGGCATATTATACGGACAGCGGTTTCCCTCTGTTCTGGCAGAGTGATGCCAACGCGACATGTGGTTATGTGGTAGAATGGCATGATGCCTCCTGCACGTGGAACTGCGCTGTAGAGTGGATCAAGGTGGCTGCTGGAAACACTAATGTCTCCATTGAGTCAGGTATGCCAGCCTTGATGCTGCCTTTAAAAAGACATCAAGCAAGTTTGTAAAAAAAATAGCGCATTGTTTTCAGCATATTTCAAATATTGTATGTATTTCAGCATTCAGCACAGGGTAAAAATGTCACTATCTTTGTCCCTCCCACCATTCTTGAAGAGTCTTTAATAACTTATATTCCCAAACCCATATACTCAACCAAAATCTTGTCTCTAGTATCTGCCAATAAGGGGCTGTCAAATTTGAAATTATACTGTATAATACATAATAATCTCTTTATTTCAGCAAAATTCCAGCCAGGTGTGAGGTACACCTTTTCCCTGTACAGCTGCTCCTCGGAGGCCCCAGAGCTGCTGCAGCGCTGGCAGGGATATACGCAGGAGCTTGGTAAGGATAGCACCGTGTATGGAAAGCTGGTCCTTTTAGAAGAAACAATGATACTCTGCATTTCAATTGCTGACTCTTTAAGTACTCCTTCTCTCTGTTATGTCTCCCATCCTTTTCTTCCGTTTTCTTTCCTCCCTCCCCTCCGGCTTCCACAGTCCCTTCCAGTTCTGTCCAGCTGTCAACCAGACAGCAGGACAGGACTGATATTGTCCTTACCTGGGGAGAGATCCCGCTGGCCAACAGAAGAGGCTTCCTCCTGGGCTACAACATTTACATCAGTAATGGCTCCCATCTCACACTTCTAGGTAAATGTTACAATGTGAAGTGTAAACAATACAGCTGTTATAATACAGTGCTTGAACCAAATACAAAACATGTATAATTAATGTTATTACAATATGCATCAAAATATGTTGTTGAAATGTTGATTTTTTTAGCTCACTTTCCTCCTCATTGCTTCTCTCTATTTCTCCTTCTTTTCTTTCCTTCCTGTGCCTCTCTCCCTTTTTGTTTTTCACCCTGTTCTTTGAATAGCCAGTCTGTCAGACCTAGAAAGCAGGACCTACACAGTAAAAGGTTTCTCCTATAAGGACTCCTATAAATTTACTGTCAAGGCCTACACCTCAGCCGGCGAGGACACAGGCGGCACTTCCTCCATAACGCTGGAGCCATACAGTATGTGAATGTATAGTTATATCTGTATAGCTGTGACTGGAAATTAACATTTGTGTTTATTCTACAATTTTTACTATTCTTATTATTTGAGGCTACAAAAGATGCTCTTGTACAGTATTATTTTAAATGCTCACAGGTAGCCATTTGAGTTCAGTTTACAGAGTGATTTATACTCAAAAGTAGGAAACAACAATCCCCTTACTTAAAGTTTAATATTTCTACTGTCTTGTGCTGACAGCTGATTGGCTGATCCTGGAAATCTTGACTTCTCTGGGAATCATAACCTTATTCCTCTCCTTTGTGACCTTCATTTGCTACAACAAAAGGAAATGGTGAGCCTGTTATGCTCCTATCTTGTATTTCTCTCCTGTTTGTGTGTGTTCCATAAATAGTGTACACAAAGCAACATTTGTAAAGATATCTACCACATTGCTGAAAACCCTGAATAAGCAGCAGCTTATTTTCTAAACTGTATCGAGGAGGAGCTATTACTTTAATTTGTATAGGCTTTTGATGACAATGTATGTTACATTTTGCTTTGTCACCAGGGTGAAAAAGGCGTTCTATCCAGACATACCTGAGCCTAAGCTGCCCGGTGATTGGTCCAGGACACAGGTACGGAATCAGCCTAATCCGGTCTGATCCTCACGACTTAAGTCTTTGTGTGGTAATTCCATAAATAGAACTAACTAGTTTTGTGGGTTTAAAAAAAAAAAGAGAAGCCAATGAGGCAATTTCCTCCCCCTAAACTGACTCACTAAAGTTTTTAATGACTCTGTCTGTCTCATAGGGGCCGTTGGATTTGAAGCCGTCTCCCCACAGTATGGTCCACGTTGTAGAAAAGCCTGATTGGGATTCTAATAAAGAAATGCTTGTCGTCATTCCTGAAGAAGATGAGGATGACGAACGGCAGGGGACAGGAGACGAGCCAGTTGACACAGATGAGCCAACGTCTTTACGCTACTACAACCAAGTGGTAGATGAGCGGCCCATAAGACCGTTTTTCCCAGACTCCTCTGCTTCCTCTGCATCTTCTTTGGATTCGGCACGCACCGATGTGACGTACACAGGGATTCAGACCTCTGGGTCTTCTTTGGTCTTCCAGCTGGATCCACAGGGCTCCTCTGAGGGCCACCAACCTCAGGCTGATCTGTCTGTCAGCTATGGAGGTGGAGGTGGAGGAGCGGGTTACCGGCCCCAGATGCAAGCTAGAGCCCAAAGTGATGACTTGGACCTAGCTTCACACGAGCCTTTCCTAGAGCCCCAGGCTACCAGTGCTGGGGGCTACAAACCCCAGAGCTCCTGGCATATGGACTCCCCCGTGGAGGCCGGGGAAAGTGATGGCCTGGCACCCTCTCTGGGATCCCCCACCTCGGTTGCTTCCACTCAGTTCCTCCTTCCTGATGGAGAGGAACAAGAAGATAAGAAACGACAGCCGTCATCATCTGCAGCATCCTGGTTCTCCAGCCTGCTGTCATCCACAAAACCGTGATATCATCTGTCTCTCTCACTACTAGCAGCCAGGCCAGGGAGGTTAACACAAAACTTAAAGATTCATTACTGTTACTGTCAAAAAAAAACGTAACCCAGATGGTCTAGGTAAATATCCCGTCTGATGTAGCACTACATTGTTACAGTTGCACATTGACAGCAGATTAAGTATGCTATTTCAGGTGTTTATTCCAAACATACAGAAACACACATATAGTTAATTTTCTCTTTTATGCAAATATATAATACATTAACATCTGTATATTTATACGTCAAAACATTTCTATTCTGACAACGAATCTCTTAAAAACAATTTCTTCATGCCTCTTTTCCACCATATTTATTGCACCCCCTGGCAACCTGGTGGCCTGGTTACTTCCTCACACTGCCTTTTTCTGTGACTCCCTGTAAAAGGGCATTTAGCAATGGCATATACTGTGTTTCAGTTGAGTATATCCAGTGTCCAGTAGCTTGCATTTCAAATGTTATTTTGTTTTTTTTTATCTTTTGTGATGTGAACTTTACTACACTACAGAAGGAAACTGAAAGCAAGAAACTTTCAAACCAAAATGACGACACAATAACAGTAAAAGACATTTTTGGAAGAACACTACAAAAGTTGACTGAAACCTTCCTCTCATTAATATCCCTGTCTTCTTTTGGTCGACCATTTGGTTCATCTTGCCTGTTTTCTTTCCTGACAGCTGATGAGCTACTGAAAGGCTGTAAAAAAAAAAAAAAAAAAGTAAAAAAAAAAGAGAGAAAATAAGATTTTAAGGGTATGTAAAGATGGCAAGGCAAGCTCTCATCCTTATAGACGTGATCTATTTTTCACAAATTACTGTCTGAACAATGAAATGTTTATTGAAAGATGAACTTATGAAAGAGAACACTCATATATACAGGAGTGGTGCTTTCCATTATGGTCTGGAATTGCTTTGGATATACACTGATATAAGCTAGAACATGAAAACTGATGTAATTTAATGAACAAACACACTATTGTGTTTTATGTAACTTTGAGTGTTGTTGTTTTGTCTTCCTTAACCAGTAGAGGTTTTTTTTCAGTATTTTTTTATTTCAGACAGGCCAGTGTCCTTTTTTTAATATTATGTGTTGAGCATTATAATCAAGCTGATGATTGGTATTGAACAAATTGAGAAAGAACCTGGATGGGTAATTACTATGTTTAAATTTCCTACAGAAATGGAGTGCTTCCAGTAATTTGCACCGTATCACCTTTCACACACTGCCTTGCTCCTAAATATTATGTATAATGAAAAAGAATATTTTACAGTAATGCAAGTCAGAACTGATCAGACGTGTATTGTATCAGACATACAGATTCCACTGGCACTAAGCGTAATGTACAAGACGTCTGTTTTAATCACTTTTAGTATGTGCTGAAATTTCTAGTTGCATTAAAATGGCCGTGATGTTACTCTCAGCCCTCTCAGTATATTTTTGTTGATGTGAAGAGTTTTTCTTTGAACCCGATGCTTTATTTTAAATCCCAGAGAGATGGCTGATAATGTATTTGATGTTGATTTGCTGTGCTTGGAAGCTTGTTTACTTTTTGGGATCTCTACAATGCATTTAAAAGTTGTTGTTTTTTAAATGTATCTTTTCATTGGATTTCTTTCCTCCTGAAAGCCTTTGTGATTGGAAAAGGGGTCAGAGGGGAAAGCATATATCGGGAAATGGCCGAAAACTTTCCAAAATACTATTATTTAGTTTTTGTTGACAAAAATGTGGGGAAAATTACCTTGTGGCTATTGGCTGCTTGACAGCACTTTGGCATCTCCATAATGGTGTCAAATACAGGCCACTAATTGCCCAAGTACACTCCACATACTGCTCTCTACTCATGTGTACATTGTGGATGTTGGGATGCACCATTAGCTAGGCTTCCCGAAAGCATCATTATGCAAATGTTATCATATTCTTCAGAGTCGGGCCCTGTTTTGCCTGTGTGGTAGCCTGTGGTCTATTGTTTCTCAGTGCCTCCAGCCGCCAACAAGCTTTAAGTAAAACTACTGTGACATGAATGATGACTTTATGAGTAACTATAATTGATCGAGTCACTGATGAACTGGTAACAGGCAGGCAGTCCTCTTTGACTACTGAGAAAAATATATCTCTATTTTTCTTTTGACTTGTATCACTGATCTGAATTTTACCTTAATGGGGGAAAAATGGTTAAAATAATGTGTCAAAAGCTTTATTTTGCACCTGTGAAATTGAGTAAAGAGTGAACCAACCAGTTGCATTGTGTAAGATCAGTGATCACTTCAAGGCAGTGGTAAAGGGTGGATGTAGTTTTGAGTATTTAAACATGGCTGCAGATTGTATCCTTTGAAGCCTGCTTTTTCAAACAAGCAGGGCTTTGGAGACTTGCCTATGAACGCGATGTGTTACATGCTTTTTTTGTTGATTTGGATCAACAAAATGGCACCTATTTTTTCTCTAAATCTTTGTTTTTATACAACTAACTGTACATATTTTCTTTTATTTGTTCCCTTCTAACAATACAAATCATAGTGATATTCCTATACTACAACAGGCAGAGTTAATGTTGACTAACCAGCTTTCTTGAGAGAAGCAAATGTATTGCTAACACCAGATATTCATGGAGTCCTATGAAATGTATGTATGTTTGTCGTGTGCTTGGAAACACATGGAATCCTTTTTAAATGTCTCTGAATAGTCATGTAAACTGAATTAGACTTAAAATAGTTTAGCCTGCTTTGCATTGTTATCACATCAGTGTCGCTTTGTCAGACACAGTGTAAGTAAGGCCAGATTACTCACCATGCAGACTCATACATGGCAACAATTTTACGTTCAGTCCACTATTTATTTCCGTTGTCCATCCACATTTTTAATTGTAACCTGTTTACTCTTGCTGCCTTACACATCTTCATCTCTGGCCCTACATGTTATTGCAAAATCGGTGCATACTGTATAAACTGTTACTACGAAATAGTTGCCCTTTAAAGATCCATGTTTGTTAGCCCTGACTTTAAAAAACTAACACTGACTAATGTGCATGCCAACTTGACTGTAGTATTGTGCACCTGTAAAAGGCTTTCATTCCTGAAAATGCTTTAAATTTCATGATATTTTGCAGAATATTTTACTATTGATTAAATGAAAAGAGACCGTGAAGTGCTTCTGAGTGAATAAATAAATGTTAACACTAATAACACAAAATGAAATGCTACTTGTTTAAAGGCAATAAAGTTATTTGTCTGGCACTTTGTCAGTGTTTGTCACTTTTCCACATGTCTAATATCTCCACAGAAATGCAGTGGTGGATGAAGAGTTCAGATCCTTTACTTAAGTGATTACTAACACCTCACTGTAAAAAATACTCTAATATAAGTAAAACTCTAATATAAGTAAAAGTACTGCATTGAAAATGTTACCTTTAGTGAAAGTATGAAAGTACAATCAGGAAAATGTACTTAAAGTATTAAAAGTAAAAGTACTCAAAGCAGAATGAAAAATGTCCCCTATGACTGTTGTACTATTATATATTATATCATCATAGATTATTATTACTCATGCAGTCATGTAAAAGCAGGATTTTTTTTGTTGCAGTTGATGGAGGTTGAACTATTTTGTATCAGATTGCAATTAATGATTTTTTTTTTTTATTATAATGTAGTGAAGTAATAAGTACAATATTTCCCTCTGAGATGTAGTGGAGTAGAAGTAGAAAGTGGAATAAAAAGAAAATACTCAAATAAAGTACAAATACCTCTAATTTGCAACTTACAGTTACTGTCCACCACTGCAGAAATGTGAAGAACTGTCTGTTGCCAATTGCTATAATATGTGTGCTCAACATCATTGGCAAGTTAGTAATAAATATTGTCCAATGAATATAACTTATTATTTTCTTTCGTTCCCTAATTATTGAAGAGAGGCTGCAGCTTAAAATACTATCTTCCCTGCGGACCTTCTTAAGTGTGAACGTGTACAGGTAGTGGATCAGTTTGTAGTCATTGCATCCTTGTTTTCTTTTGGGGACAGTCAGAAATGAAAACTGATCCAGGGCCAGCTCGGCCCGCCCGCTCCCGTGAGTGGCCTCCTGAGACACGATGCAACCCAGTTGACATGTCACCATGGCAGCAGCGCACCGCTGGGATTTCCTCCGCTGTGTTCAGGTGATATTAGCGAGCTAAAGAGTCATATGTTGTACTATACTCTGTTGAACGTTAAATAAAGGAGATGTCGGATATACTGTGTAGGTGGCTGAATGAGGAGCTCCGGCTGTCAAAAACTGTTGGTAAGTGTGACTAAAGTTACAGCCTAACGTTATCTAGCTATGTTACCTGCTAGCTTAGTTAATTAAGCTAACGCTAACTCGGTGGCTTCGTTAACCTTAACTGTGACTTCTTTGACACACTGTTAACGATGTAAGAGCTAATTTTTAAGCTAAATATAAAAGACGATAAACAAACAATTATCAACATATCAGCACAAGCAAGGGAGATTGATTGATAGGGTTTGGGATATAATATGTAACGTTATTTTAAACAAAAAAATGGACCAAGAAAACAACACATAACGTTACTTAAGGTTACCTACCACATTTTTAAATTTTAAACAAGACATGTTGAAAAGTCCTTAAATGATTGCATGTTCATCTCCCCAGAGCCAAAGACCTTTGCCAAGAATTTCTCCAATGGTTATCTAATTGGGGAGGTTCTGCATAAATATCAGTTGCAGAACGACTTCAGTATGTTTATGAAGAAAGAGTAAGTTGGCCTCTCTCTTTTTCTAGCTTTCTATCCATGCTACTTGGCGTGTTGTTGCTGGGAAAATACCGTGGCTGACTGCTGTTTAATTACCCAGCTCATTTAAAGTGTTCATAATTATTCAAGTTATTTGCACCTTTTCTCATAGCACGTCCATCTCCAAACTGAATAATTTTACCCGCCTTGAGCCTACTCTCCACTTACTGGGGATCTCCTTCGACATAAACACAGCCCAGGAACTGATGCAGGAGAAGCAAGGTGTTGCTACACGCCTCCTCTACCAACTCTATGTGTCACTTGAAAATAAGAAGAAAGCAGAAATCAGCGGGACAGTGATGGAAATTATGCAGCCTGCAGCCGTTGCTGGCCTGCACAAAAAAGAGCATGAGATCTACTCTGATGTAAGAGTGGCTGTATAGATGTATGTGCAGTATGTGCATGTTGTTAGAGCGTAATTTCTTTTGCAACAGCATGTTGCGTCATATAGAAACATACTGAGATAGGTAGTCTTGCTCTGTACCAATATTGAAAAAGTGCATGTTGAAGGATGGCAACTGACTCTTTTTTATGTTTGAAGTTCACATTATTTCTTTAATGTAACATCAATATCTACATAAACAAGCTTACTCTCTTTTCATGTAGCGACTGCATCAGGTGGTGAAACGCGATGCAGAGCTGAAGCTGCAGAAAATCTCTCAGCACTATGAGGAACAATACCAGCAATGGAACGAGTGCTGTGTGGTAACCCATCCCATCCAGCAAAGGAGACAACTCAAAGTCCAGGATGAGAAAAGAATGAAGAATATTGAGAAGGTGATGCAGACAAAATACAATATTGTAACACTTTCCTCCTGTATTCATTTAACATACGATCTAAATTTATGATCAGACTTCAAGGCAGTCTACATTTTACATCTGTATCAACTTGACATTTTACATTTTTTTCTCAGTCTTACATGCCACAAAGTTACAGCTCTTTGCAATATTTTGGTGTTGACATTACAATAATACTGCTTGATGCTGGAATAAAGGAAACTCATTCTACTGAATTTGTTTTGCAGCTGCAGGTGCGTCGTCAGAAGCACAATGACATCATGACTTATAATCAGGCCGCTATTGTCCAGGTTCCCAAGCCACCGCCCTATACTTCACAGATCAACCTTAAGAGGAGACAACAGCAGCAACGCAGAACACAACAAGCACAGGTGTGATCAAGATCAGATTAAATAATGATGTGATACAAATAACACAAATAAGAACTATGCCAAAGAACTTTGTGTGTGGTCTTAAGTTCACCAGATGTTCCAAGGTCTTTTCAAAACCAATAGCTTGCTATTGCTTAAAAGCATGTCATTGTTTACAGAGGAGAGATTGTTTCTAATTTATTTTCTCTGCCAAGGTTTTCCAGATTTACTAAGAATTTTAACTGATGACCCTCTGTCTACTCCCTTTTAGGCAATTGTAATGCCACAAATTTGACAACAATTTATAGAATTTCTCACAATACGTTCATGTACATGTCCAAATTGAGAACAAAGGAGTGACATGAGTTTGGTTCTTTCCGATATTATTACAATTTCTGTCCATTATGTCCAAGCAGTTGGTGCAGATGCAAATAGCCCAGTTTGAGACAAACAGGAAGCAACTGATAACTTATGGTTTCGCTTCCCCTTCAAGGTGAGAGAAAAGGAAACTAAATTAATATTGTATTTATGCAGTATTATGTTATTTAAATATTTGTATTAAGGGAGTTTTATAGCAACCTGAGATATCCACCATCATACATTAGAACAATGACTTCCTAAGTGATTTGAACTTTTTCAATTCTAGTGGTCAGCCCTACCTTGGAGATTGTCCCCCTTCTGAGGTCCCTGGAAGTGGAACTAAGCTGATATTACAATCCAATAGCAAGTATATACATGATATCCGACAGAGGCTGGAGGAGAATGCTGCAGCTCGTGAGCAGAGAGAGAAAAGAAGAGACAGATTCCTGGTGGAGCAGCTCAAGGCCCATGAAGCTCAAGAGGTGAAACGTCTCCTCTCCTCTCATTGAGAAATGTTACTAGAGATAAATGCCCACTCAGTAGACTTGAGAATTCATTCAGCACAGTCTGTTTCTCCTCCTGTAGAATCTTTCTCAAGTGTTTCATAACTGGTCACCCATTCATTTGTTTTTATTGACCATATGTAATGTAATATAATATAGAACATTTATTTTAAATATATATCTACACATCATATTCTCTTCACCCAGTCTGTTATTTGACGTGTCATTTTAACCACAAATCAATCTACTGATCAGCCACCTCTCCCTCATGCTGCAGGAGACACGGCGAGAGGAGCAGCTGGTGAAGCGTCTGACACGTCAGACTCAACAGGAGCAGCGTTTAACAGCTCAGCTCCTCCAGATACGTAAGCAGAAGGAGGTGATCCGGGAGAACCGCCTGTTCAGAGATCAGCAGTGCCAGCAACGGAGAGAGAGGGACTTCCAGGAAGCTCTGGAGAGGGAGGCGGTGAGATAGGATGAAAAAGGAAGAAGAATAATCCTCTCTATTGTCACTTTGTATTAGGCTATATCAGTAATAGTATAAGTAGTGTGTTAGGGAGAGACAGGAAAGGGTTGATTTTGGTATTATGAAGAGAGAGAGAGAGACGTCAGAGGGACAGATAAACGGTAAAGTAAGACTGTATGAATCATGACATAAACAACTATACGGGATGTCCTACTAGTGATCACACTTGTGGTCATTACTGTCATGACTGATTTAGTTGAAAAGAAGGCACAGATACTTAGATAAATGCCTCGTAAAAGATGATGGCCATGATCCAGCATGGTTTCAGTGTAGGGTGGTCATGGTGCAGGGGCGTCACATTAACTTAAATTGTCAGCCAATCGTGGAGCAGATTGTTTAGCGATTAAGACTCATATTCTGCGGTTATTTGCCATTTACTCTAAAAAGTGAAAAAGTGATGTTATTAGGTGATTTAGGGAGAAAGTTGCACGATTATATGTACATACGTATGAAGGCTTTAATGGTGAATTATTGATGCTGGATCTATTGTGTCTGTTAGTTTGTACCTCTTTAAGGCTACGCACTGAGTATATGTTTTGCACAATAAATACTCTCTGTAACATATTTCATCTTCCTTATTTACTAACAACTGTGGTGATTAGCAGGAACATTTATGTGATGCCTTCTCCGCTCATTCCATCTTTCTGACCGGGGCCTGATATAGGCTTTGGCTCAGCAGGCTAAGTTGGAAGGCGCCGAAGAGATCAGAAAGGAGCTTGAATTCTGCAACAGGATTGCTGCTGAGCGAGCTCAGAGAAGATACAAGAAGCACTTTACAAGCTGCAAGGACATTTTGGAGCAAATTGTAGACTTGGCCACCAAGGTTGGAGAATATCGACTGCTCACTGGGAAGTACGTAACACAATTGCTTTTAATGCTGCAGTAGAAACATGCATACACACATGAAAACCTCCAAGCTCAAACAGTTATTGAATATGTAGAAATTCCAAAATGTGTAATAAAAATTAAGATTGGTTTCTCGCTTCCATCACTCCATTGTTTTTCTTTCTTTCCACAGTAAAACATTAAAAAGGTATTTTAAAAAAGCACCATCAATATGAAACCTGACTGAAGACAGACATCTTTAATGTAATGTTGTATAAAAACTTAGTAAGTTACATGCGAGTCAGAAACCTGTGAAAAAATTACAAATTGGAAACTTTTTTTTAATTTATTTATTTTTTTTACAGCTGACCAGTGGTCAAATAAAATCAGTAGACGTCAACATCCTGTCTACTTCTTCCATGATCTAATACATCATTTCCATAGATATGCACTGCACACAACCCCGCTCAGTATTCACTTTGTATGTGTATGTATCCTGCTACCCTAGGTTTTATATATCCACTACTTCAGCTCTTCTACTTAAATACCATACATTTTCAGGCTCAATCAAAAAACTATTTTATTTTCACTACATTTGGAGGGCATTGAAAAGTACTGTACAGCCCAGTTAGTTACCTGGTATACAGTGAGTGAAGTAGTTCAAACAGGTAAAACCATTTTCATGTGTGTTGTCCAGGTTTCATTTTAACCACTACTCCACTTATGAAGTCTAGCTTAGCTTTGCCTCCTGTCATTTTTTTTCTGCTGTCATGTCCAGTCTGATTCCAGAGAAGCCGATGAGAGAGTGGAAGGAATTGCTGTTCAGTGGTCTACCTCTTTATGAGCCGATAAAGGGCCAGCAGCCAGGGTTTGAGTTCTCTACCCCACTAGACCCCGTAGAGCTTAAGAAGCAGGAGATACTCAAAAACCAGGACTATGATGAATACACTGTGAGTTTGAAACATGAGTGCAGTGTGTTTTTAAATCGTGCTTGTACGTGTGTGTTTTCCCGCACACTTGCATGTAGCTTATTCATGATGACTGAATAATTTGGTCGATTGAACCCACATTTTCAAACGAATGTTGATTTCACAAATAGTGAAGTAGGGAAAGTCAACCAAGCTACATTCTTCTGCAATAAAAACATTTGAACTGTCGCTGAACTGAAGCCGCAAACTGTCTGTATGCTGAAGATCCTCTTTGTCTTAGCCATTTGTTGTGTTTGTCAGAACATGGTTGGTGAGTGGGCATGGCCAGAGGAAGCAGGGGAAACCAAATTACCCCCACCAACAACAACATTCTTGGACATGTTGTCCTGCGACTGAGGAACATTGTTCATCCACCCATCGTGGAACCCTCCTCACCTTCATTTCCTCACTTTACCCTCAAGGCCTGTGTCCTGGGCAAGTTTTGCTCTGGCAAGACCACCTGCCTGTCCAAGATTGCTGAAGGTACATGACATGCAGTCCGAACACAGATGCAAGCATACACTGAAATTATTCATTAAATATGGATGTGGGATAAGATTTTATGGCTTATTTGTTGCTGAGTATGTGTGTTGTTTTCTGCTTTAGCCCATGGCATCTATGTCTTATCAGCCGACAAGCTGATTCAGGAGGCACTGAATGCTTACCAGATTGGAGAGGAGGTTGGTCTGATACAGTATGACAGTTTTGTAACTTCACTAGTATCCCTTTTTATTTACTCTTGTCACATAATTTTGCTTTTCCTAAGTTTCTTTTAGGACCATAAAATGGCAATAGTCTCTCCTGCCTGTGCCGGACATGAATAAACCTGTAAATGGCCTTAAAATGATCTTAAACATTTCACCTTTTTTTGGATGAAATTTAAGGTTAAAGAGCAGCAGGAAGAAAGAGACAGCGAGCAACTGCTCACATCCCCCAGATCCCCCACATCACTGAAACCTGGTGGGTTACTGAAGCTAGCATTATACTCTTCTATTCTAGTTTATACTTTACATTACAGTGTGTTTATTTGCTTCTAATACAAATACACTGCACATTAAATATTTCACACAGTTGATTGTTATTTGTGATACGCGTCTCTCCTAATTTAACTATTTTTCAGATCTTGACACGCAAGAGGAAAGTAGAAACACTAACATAAGAGTAAGTGTTCCATTTGCGATCTTCTGACTCTATTTTGTATTTACTTATTCAATTTAACTCTATTAAATTTATACTAATAACCAGCCCGATTAAAATGTGCTTTCCTTATCGAATAAATTATGAATTTTAGGAGACTAATAATTTGAATTATTAGGTCATAAACATATTGTTTTTCTGCTGTGTCCCTTATCCAGCTGTCTACTCGGGCCATGCAGGGAGAAGCTGCAGAAAAAGAGCTAAGGAAAGGTAGCATCCTCCCTAATGAGCTCTTAGTGGACATTATAGTAGAGGCCATCAGGTGAGCACATAACCTGTATTGCTATAAATACAGTATATAGGATTAAGTTAATTGTATTATCTCAATTTTGTTAGATTAGATTAGATATGCAATTCATTTTAATATTTCTTAGAAATCTCAAAGATATAATCTTTTATATACAGTGTGGGAAAAATAAACAAACAGCAACCTCACAAGCACTCTCTAGACAGTGAAATACTTGTTGTGTCCTTACTAGGCAGGTTCCAGCTCAGTCAGGTTGGATCCTGGATGGCTTTCCAGTGGACATCACCCAGGCCCACCTGCTAGAGAAAGCCCTGGGTGGGTCTGTAGAGGTAGAGTATGACATTGAAAGCAGCAGGATGAACCTTGCAGTGGATCCTAATCCACCTAGCCCACCACCACCCCCAGCTCCTGTACTGGACCTGGCTCTGCTGCTGGATATCCCTGATGAGTGTGTGGTCAGACGTGCATTCAGTCAGATGGGTACGTTAGACTGGTGGATGTTTAATGCTATGTATATGTGTTCATCCAAACATTATCTGTTAGATGGTGTGTGTATCTATATATACACACACAAGTAACATGTTAAATGTAAATTGTATGTTCATGTGTTTATGTAATTCTCTTGCTCCCTGGTGCAGATGCAGATACTACTGCTGCTAAAACCTCCCATCCCACAGACAAGAACTTGTACCTGGCGCAGATTCCACACAGGTAAAAAGAAAAGAAAAGTCACATGCTACACTAAAATTAATACATTACTGCTACTGTACTGGGTGTCTAATATCTTACATCCTTTCCCCCCCTAAAGGATTACAGCTTTTCAGGACACCTGGCCAAAACTAGAGAAATGGTTTAGTGAAAAGCAAAACATTTTGATTCGTGTTGATGCAGATGTAGAAGAAGAGGAGCTCTGCAAGAGGGTGGAGTCTGTCCTGCAGGAACTTGTGATGCAAACACAGGAAGGTAACTGGTTGTCATTATTTTAGTGTTTTCACCATCTGACTCACGAATCAATTTTCTTAATTTTTCCATATGATTAGGTAAAAAAATAAGGATAAAATAAGTTTTTTCATTTTTATCAGACACTGATGATGAGATTCTGTCTGTTTCTACAGTATATGATGTATAGTAGACAATATGTCTTCCATATTTACTCACAATATTCAGATATATTTCCTCATCTGATTCCCTCAGCTCTTGCCACTCCTCCTGTTGCAGATGTAGTGTTGGACAGTGGGAAAGCTCCAGATTCCTCCTCTTCAGACACACCTGCACCTGTAGACCAAGCTCCAGTCCTCACAGATGAAGCCCCTGTCCCCACACACTCCTATTCCAGCCTTAATGAGGACAAGGCCCAAAGTGTGACATCACTTTCCAAATCCAACACCCATTCCCCCAGAGGTGATTTAATTTGATCAGTAGTTAATTCAACCTCATTCTACTGATAAATGGTGACTGACTTGTTTAAAGGTACTGTGTGTAGTATTTAGGAAGATCTATTGACCGAAATGTGATATACTATACATAACTATGTTTTCAGTGGTGGATAAAGACCTTACATAATCAGAGTTTCCCAAAGAATAACAGTGTAACTGTGGCTACCAGCGTGCTAGACACGAAAATCCAGCTGCATTCTAATATTAACTTAGCTCTCCTTATTAGCTAGGCTCCTTGCATGCTGTCTAATAACTTTTTTTATGCTGGGTCTACGACACTGACAGCGTTGTGTTGGACAGATTTGTGCAGCCTTCCGTGTGTAGGCCTACACACGGTAGCTCCGCTTTAATCTTGAGAGCTGCAGTCGCTATTCATTCAACTTACACTGTAAATTTCCAGCTAAACTGAGGCTTTTTCAAGATCCTTTTCTCTCTCTCTGTCTCTCTCTCTCTTGCCTGCCATTCACCTTCTTGTGCAGAATTTTGCATGCATGTTGTGGTTCTTTGTGTGGTTCATCAACGGTGATAAATTATCCAAAAGTCCCGCGAGGTGCGGACAACTCGGCACAGCACCAGTGAAGCTGGGGCTCCTCTCTTCACCATCAAGTCCTCTTCCGGCACTACACACATACACGCTATGCCTACACATGCACACTGACGACCCAGGGTTAGGGTTACAAATTTGGATTTATTTACGCACTTTAAAAACACAAATTTTATTCTTTTTACATGTTTATTTACAGCATTAAACGTTGAAATGTATATATGTATATATGTGTAATAGCCTGTATATTAACTTATTGGGAGAAAACTGGTAGTTCTATGTAAAATCAGACGTTGAGCACCCCATTTCGCTAAAAAGGCATGATCCTTTTTTTGCTGCGAAGCTTCGACTGTGAGATTGACAGTCGGCCACCGTAGCTTCTCCTACGCGCTTGGAAAGGGAGGGCTGAGCAGTGACACGCAAGAGGAAAGCAGAAAGCAGTAGAGAGCAGTTGGTTGCAATCCACAACCCTCACCACTAGTTGCCACTAAAACTTACACAGGGAACCTTTAAGGTAATTTAAATATCTAAATTGCCTTCCCACCGCTGTAATCAATAAGAAAACACATTATTATCATTATCAGTTGCTGATTGGCATAATTAGATTAATAAAGGTTTATATAGTATTATGATTACTATCCATTAATGATTAACATTCAATAAATATGGTTAATTTTACTTTCTAATAGTGATAATGTATGTACTTTTTTCCTTGCTAATCAACAGAACACTCTAGGAAGGTGTCAGCTTCCTCCGTGAACAATGAGGACTCTCAGGAAAACCTCAAGAACCCACCACATTCTGCCTCTCCCTACCCAGGTTCCCCCAGCTGGGTCTATGTGGATGAACCCCTTCCTCCAGTAGGATACAACTTCTATTTATGTTTGTTTTGCTTATCAGAGTTCGAAGTGCATTCCTAATCTCTTTCTTCCCTGAAAAATCTGGTTTTGTCAGTGACATATGACAATCAGACTGGGGTTGCCTCAAGGTGGCCCTCCAATGGAATTTAGCCTGTGGTTTAACTACCTGAATTGCCTTTTAGGGTCAGCTATATGAAAATGCATGTCATGTGATATCTTTGTGAAATCTGTTACACTACACTACAGTATGTCTTGTTTTATTTTATAGTCATCTATCCCCCCATGTCACCTGCTTTGTTCATCTCTTCCCCTCCTCATTGCTATCTCTAGGAGATCCCAGAGTACCTCTACCCCCATTGGGACACAGTGACTGAGTCTTATGTGAACAACATAAAGACAGTGATGCAGCAGCTGCGCTCACAACGCAACTTTATTAACCATCACCTATTCAACATCAGGTATTCTGCCAGGCCTTTGACATGAACATGAAACACTACATTTGGTGCACTAATTACAGATAGGCACATAACTAAGCATTAGCATAATGGAGACCTTTATGCACCTGTCTATTCTTCATTTTTACATTTGATCTCTATAGCATTAGATGCATACTTGAATACTTGGACATGTCTGTACATGCATCTGTATATCTGATGTAGTAACACATATATGCACTGTAAACCTAACAGTGTATGTAGCCACACACTTTGCACGCCCCAAGAGCCACTAATATCTTGTTTGCTACAATCAATTGATCCTTTTTATTCTTAAATAGAAGGTTTTGTCATTTACGTATATAGCTGCAGGTGCATTATGGAAGTTGAACAACTGATTATTTCTAATTAGCTTCTAAATAAAGTATCAGTTACTGGTTTTCGTGGTTATTCTTATTTTTGGTTACAAGTGGATGTGACCCAAATGTTCATACCATATGGTCCATTGTCAGAAATATTTTACAATGAAGGAGAAAATGTATGTTAATAGAACATTTAAAAAATTAGTTCTGATAAATGTATTACTATGTAAGTATTACCTGGTTCCCTGTATGTGTAGAGAGGAGTACAAGCATTACCTGGTGCGTCCTGACTTGAAGCAGGAGTTAGTGTCTCAGTGGCAGAAGGACTTCAACAGCATACCTGATGATATGAGAGAAGACGAGGATACCAAAGCAGAGCTACATCTGAGACTGGATGTGAGAAGAGTTTGTAAAACAATACAAATATTCTTAAACTGATCACAGAAATAGTGTAAAAACCGAGAATACAGAATATATAGAGATATTCTGATGTGTGTACAGGAACTCCGTGAAAGTTTGTGGGACATCAGCGACAAGCGTAAGGAGGAGGATGAGCAAGAGAGGGCTGCTCTCATGGGCTGGTTGGAGGACCATATTGCCATCCTCATCAACAACCACTCTATACTCATCCAGGTAACTTTTCTGTTTCTTTGTAAGCATTTGGCTGAAATAATTATAAACTCATGTTATAGATTATTTCCCTTATTCTGTGTGTTTTGTACATGTTGCCTTCTTTTCCGTCCACTTTGTGTTTATGGTGTAAAGGCAGCTACTTCTTCTATGTAACTCGCCAGTGTTTGTTTTTTGGCAAAACCATAATATGGGATTGCTTGTGTTGTATAGGTGGAGTTGGAACGGTTCCATGACACACTCTGTATTCTCAGGGTCTACTATTTGAGCATGTACAGACCGGTGCCACCTGAGCTACCCTCCAACTTTGTCTGTATCCCCCTACTGGACCCCTCAGAAATTAAGGATAAGGACGAGAGGCAAGAAACATGCTATTAATAGCCTTAACGTAACCATGTTAAGACACGATAATTATAAAAATTGTATACAGTTTATGGATAACAAGTGCAGAAAGTGAAAGATGAATTTTGTTCCATCAGTGCTGAACCAGCCGGTAGTCAGGTGGATGATGGGGAAGACAAGAGGAAAACTCGTAAATCGTAAGAGAGAAGTCTTTCCTTATGTTTTTCATTCTGTTTAAAAGCTGAAATGGATGTTGTCATTTCCTCACAATTCAAATAAGCCCAGCACAAACATATACACACATTAACAATTTCCACCTCTTTTCCTGTATTCCCCTCTCCACAGACATACTGACTCAGGAAGGGTCTCCAAGACGACAGACCAGGGTCAGACAGAACCTGCAAAGGTCATGTCACCCCAGGAGAAACTGATCTCTGACTACGAGGAGGCACTCACAGCCATCAGCAAATTGGTAATGCTCTGTGTGTTAGAAGTTGCATGAGCATATTACGAAGGTATAATACTTTTGTTTTTAAGTGTGTTTTACATGTGTAGGTGTCAGCAGAAGCTCACCAGGGGGAGACAAAAGAGCATAAGGAGAAACTACAAGATAAGGACAAGGCAAAGGCCTCTGCAAGTGCAAACAAAAAGGAAAAAGGGAAGCAGTCATCAAAAAAACAGAAAGGCATGTCTTTTGTAGAACATTCAGAAAAGCTATTGAGAGGTGCCCTCTAGGATGTACTGTATGTTTCAGTATGTTTTCTACATCATTACCCCCCCCCCCCCTCCATCTTGTTCCTCCAGGTCCACCATCCCCACCTCCGGCACCCAGCCCTCCACTGGCTGATAATCCTCAAGAATCTCATCATCAAGAAGTCAAAAACAAAATACATAAAGAATTTGCAGCCGCACTGAATCACGAGGGTATGCACACACACACACACACACACACACACACACACACACACACACACACACACACACACACATTCAGAGATTGAGTATTTTCTTTATTCCACAGTATATTTAATTGTCATATTAACATAATGTCAATTTTCGATTTCAAACTGTGTAATATAAAGGATAATAAATGCAGGTGGGTTTGTTGTTATGTGTATCTCTGTGCGTATTTTTATATGTGTACATACAGTACATACATTCATGTGATGTGTGTGTACATGGTCATGTGCTTATCTAGTTCTGTTCCTTTGTTTGTCTTCCTGCATGCATGTGTGTGTTTTCCAGAAAATGCAGCAAAGGTGCGTATTGCGCTGGTGAAAGGTCACGGTCTGGTGACACTGCAGTCCCTGCAAAGCAGAGCTGAACAGACCTTTAGCAGCATGAAGAAGTGGTTAGAAACACACTATCTTGCAGAAATGAAGAGGTATGGTACAGGATGAGTATGGGTTCATGTATGTTGTGGACCACATGTGCATATAGAGAGACATGAAATGAACGAAACAGCAATAGCATAGCACTGTATTGCTGTCCCTGTTTCATTAGTGTTGTTGTGGATGCTTAATTGTGTGCATTTATATAAGCCACCAGTATTGAATTGTTGGACTAGTGTGTTACTGTTTTTATTTATGTATTTGACAAAAAAGTCACAGAACATGAAAGATATCCAAACTGGAACTATTACTTGAGAATATCATACATAATGCTTGTAATAATTTGTAGGTTTTAGTCTCCACTGAGAATGAGCCATTTGTAACATATTTAAGCCTGGTCAGGGAGAGTTTTTGATGTTATTAATTACACACACAGAAGACATGGATGACATTTTACCTGTGTCTGTCTCCTTTTCTCAAGTATTGACCAACTATCAGAGGTGGTTCGCCACCACATAGAGGCTGGTGCTAAGTTGCAGAATCAGCTGTTATTGGTATGTAATGACTTCATAATTGTATTGATTTACCTATTGATTAATTACCTATTAATTATTGAATTAGGTAGTTGTGGTGTTTACTAGTGACAGGGTAGCTCTTTCATCCTTTCTGTAGTTACAGGGTAACTGTAGGCTGGAGTCTGAATTGTTGATTTGACAGTGGGCCATAGTCTCCTTCACCTCACTCTTCCCATTTTAAGATTCTCCATATTCTCTTCTCCAGGAATGTACTGACTTCTTCCTGAATGGCGACTGCCACATGGTGGCTAGCCCGGCTCCTCCTCCCCGTCCACCACCACTGGAGAAACCCACAGGGTCCACCCCGACTATCACTCAGCTCGAGACACTCCACCAACAGCTACGTACTGTTGCTCCATCAGGTGCATACAGGGGAGACGAGTTGTGATATGATTGGATCTGTTTAAAATCCAGTTATCCATCCATCCATCCATCCATCCTTTCATCCTTTCCCTTCCCTTTTTGACTTTCAGGCCTCATGTCCAGTTTTGAGTTCTCCAGTTTGCTCAGGGATATCACCTCTCTTAACACAGGCAGAAAAACCTTGCCTGATCCCTGGATCGACAAGAATGAAACACAGGTAATATTGTCCAGAGACTCAAAACACAAAATGGGGTAATCATTTATTTTCTCTTTTCCTCATAGCACCAAATAATACAACAAGGTATTGTTAGGTAGACAGTTTATGAACAATTTGAGCCAACTGACGAAAAGGTTCAAAACCAAATAACCACATAATCAAATAGCACTCTCAGGAAGCAAAGCAAGTCACAAAACATTCCTGCACTATGCTGTCCAGTTACTTGTGTAGTCTGAATAACCAAGTAAAAGATGCTGCATTGTCCTTTTCTCTCCGGTCCCCAGTTGATGGAGATTGAATCTCTGCTAACGGACGAGTATGAACTGATAGACTGGCGTCGGTTTCTGCTCAGTGCTGCCCTCCCTTGGCCATTTCCCTCCTTAACACAGCTGCTGGTCGTGCTACAACGTTTCAAGGCGGCAGATACAGGCTACACAGGCTATATAAATGAGGAACAGTACCTACAAGTTAGTCTCTTCATTGCTTATGTGGCATTACTATACACTGAGACTCTTTTTCTACAAGCAGGTCTGAGTTCAAGTCAATATGACAATACACTAGGCATATATTAGATGCTTTTTATACAGTAGTATAAAGAGAAAACTGTAGCTCCTGAACATTAAAAGAAATGTTTAAGTTGTTCATCTTGCTTCCTTTTACACCAGACAGAGTTGTGGTTTTCCAGTGAGACTGTCCCGCCCGTCCCTGAGGACCCCTCTGAGCCTCTACCTTATGACCGTCTGACTAACCTACGCAAGGTAAACTACCCGCAGTGTTTGACAGCTTAATTCCATGTCCTGAAATGGGAAATTCAACCGTCATGCCACACAAACAACATAAAAAGAATGAACAAAGACAAAATTAAGTAATGAAAGTACGTAAAGGTAGAATAGAGCATTACCCAACTTTTTAAACCATTGCTATAAGGACCTTTCAGCTATTTTCATTGTTATCTTATTGTAAAAACAAATAAATCTGAAACACAGACTTATAGAGGATACAGTCATCTCAATCAAAACTATCAGAGATCAAACAAAGAGATCAAACCTTATGTTAATTGTGCGTCCAAATGAACTACACTGCAAGTAATAAATAAAATAAATTAACAGTTGCGTTTGCCTCTGTTCTTCCTTCTTAGTTCTTTTTCCAGTTGTTTGCGGACTACTCTTTCTCTCCCCCTCAACTGGACTATGTGTCCATGCTGCAGTACTTTGCAGCTGACCCCAACCCCAGACAGGGCTTCATCAGAGCACTTACTGTAGTTGTGGGACAACATCTCAAGCACTCCTCACCGGGCCATCTTGTCGAGGTGAGTAAATTAATATACAAAGAAAAGTGAATAAAATTTTCACTTGCAATTCATCTTCTGTCTTAAGATGGCCCAGAATTATGATAGACACTTTTTAACAGCATGTTTCAGGTTTTTCTAGTGGTTGGTCATTTGTTTTTGTGAGTGGTAAGTTTTCTCTTCGGTACAAACTATTGCACATCAAAAGGACAATGTGTGTGCAGTCTATGCCCAGTATAGAAGAGGCTACAGACCTCAGCTCCTCAGAAGGAAAGTACAAGGAAGAAGAGACTCCGTATGCATCAAGCGGTTCAGAGGGGGAGCAGAAAGTGTCCATAGCTGCTCTCCTTGCTGTCATCTGTCACAAAGTCACCAAGATGAAAGACGACATACCCCTTCCTCCAGGCTGCCTGAGTCCGGAGGAGCACACTGAGGTAAAGCCCTATGAAAGTTCAAACTGGGCTTTTAAGGAAAAACGAATGATTGAATTAATGAAGCAAAAACAATAGTGACGACATGTTGTAAAAGATGTAAGCTCTAATTTTCAATTTAGCAGAATGTGTTTTCACTCATTTTACTATCAAAGTGCATATACAGGCATAGTCTACTTTATTTAAGAGTAAAAATGTAACTTATATGGATGACTCTATAAGTTTGAATGAGATTCATGATTAATAGTTGCCTACCTGACTTGTATTACAGGTAGGCATTTTGCCAGGGTCTGCTACAACCACAAGGATTTTTTTAATGCCACCATAATTGGGACATTTAGAAGAAAGTCCACCCCTTCATTTACTTAATTTAAAATAAATTAAGCTTTTAAACCATTTTTTGTTTAAAAAAAATAAATAAATCAGGCCAAACCGCTGAAAAAATCCCCAGTATACTAAAGCTGTCAATAGTTTGAATTTACAGATTCTGTGTTTCTAAGCAGAATTTTTAACCACATTATTCAAATGAAATGTTCCCCTCATTAGTAATACTTTTTACCTCTGCTGGCCTCTAGCACTTGGTGCATGTATTCAGAGAGCTGGGCTACAACCCCGAGGACTGTGTCCCCTTCTCTGTTCTCTCTGAGCATCCTTTCATCCGCGGCCTGATGGACACCTCAGCACAATACCACCTTGTCGTAAGTCTCTAAGTAGATTCATAACTTGTTATCCAAAATAGCACACTGCTCTGCTGCTGAAACATTATGTGCATTGATTTTCTCATTGCTTATTTTTGAAGCTGACAAACCTACATGAGGAGTCACCCTCATCTTCATCTCTCTCTCCTTCATCACTCTTTTTATGCTTTCTTTCTTGTGCTTTACCTTTATATCTCTGTCCCTCTCTGTTTCTGTCTCTGTCTTTGTCTCTCAGAACATTCATAGACTGCTACTGGCCCATCAGGATGAAGGAGAGGCTAACAGCTTGACAGTCTCCTAAAGAATAAGACCTCTGCAGTACAAATACATATTGCTGTTTGCAAAATAAATACCTTGTTCACTTAGGAAATGCAGAAGATGTTGCTTTGGCCAATTTTGAAGTATTATCATTACTTTCACATTTGAAATGTTTGGTAAAATGTATTGCTTACTTCAGTATTGAATAAACAGATTTGCAACCATAACTTGTTTCAGTAGGGTTCAGTAAGGTTGGAATGACAACAATAACCTCAACGATGGCAGGGTTGACCCATCTTACATTTTTCTCTGAAACACTCAAGCAGTTTTTCTGACTGACTTGTTTTTCTAATGACCTCCCTGGCACAGAAAAGCATTGGTTGTCCAGGATAACCTACATGTCAAGCCTGACTTGCCAGCAACTGCCTGCCAGGACACCCACAACTCTATCACAGGTCGCAGTGACGTGTTATTGTAGCTATGATTATTTCACAGTCAGTGCTGCTTGTCTACCAATCAACTTCATGTGTGTGTATAGTAAAGACTTTTTTTAATTTTTTTATTTCATGTTTCTCCAAAGACAAAGCAACTTATTAATACATCATCTAAATTAGTTACAGGTGTCACAACAAATATCATTTATAATCAATAAGTGATCTCATGTACTTATTGATTGGTTACATTCTGTCAGCAGCCTTGAGGGAGTGTTAACATTCCTGTTAACATTTCCTTTGTCTAATTTGATACAATGAAGGCTTAGGGAACCACCCCCCACCGCCCTTTCTCTCTTTCCCTCCCTTTTGTAGTCACTGCAGATCCAGGGCTCTTGGACTTCTCAGTGTCTGACTTTTAGAGAAAACAGAGCCGTGTCATACAGACAGAATCATAGTTGCAGACTTGCACCCAAAACCATTTTGTCCTGCTGATTTCTTGTGGAAAATTTTCCATTTGTCTGGATCCCAACTCTGGCTTAGCACCCGTCTGACCCCGTTGGATTTAACTTTGTTGCTGTATTACAGAGTTAAAAGGGCAAACTTTATCACAAGGAATTGTTTTTCACTCAGAAGGTTTTCATTACAGTTTATTTTTGATTTGGAAGACTATTTTAGGAGGACTTTGGCTGCAGGTCAGTGTATTGTGCTCTAATAACAAGATGGGGATTGTATTTTGGATGTTTTCTCTTCTGGCTCTTCCAGTACTTCAGTCTGCCAAGATCCTGACTGTCTGTCTAATTGGTGAGTAGTGCAGCGGTGACTGTTAAAGTGCCCTTTACTTGTTGTAAGAGAGATAAATTGTAAATATTTGTTGAAAATATGAAAAGAATATGCACCTCCTTGTCTAACTGGTGAGTCAAATAAGTACAATAATATGTAAAAGCTGTTAAAGGGGTTTGTGAAGTAAATGTGCCACAGTATGTGTATTATAATGCGCACTAATACAGTATGTTGCAAACAGTGAGCCACATGTCCAGACAGCATAGCATGTATCTTTTTTCTCCTCTCCTCTCCTTTTCTCCAGGAGGAAGCCACTACTTGTTATTAGATGAAATTTCTCATAACTTACACCAGCGTGGCCATGAGGTTCGCATGCTCTTGCAACTGGGCAACCCTGTTATTACAGGTAAACTGTACATTCAGTACACACACAAACATACACATACAGAAAGATATTTTGCATAACTGTCATCAGTCTTCTGATTCTGATTTGGTCACTAATTTGAATGTAAATGATTCCTGTTTGTACACAGGGTTTTCCTATGCAGGCCGTGCAGACAGTTACCAGATGAGCACCTGGTTCTTAGGCGAGAAATACATCAAAGATTATAACGGCTGGTTTCTAGAGCAACAGACGCAGTTTTTACTGGGAAGGTATCTACTTAATCTTGTTTTGCTCTTGAGTCTGGTTTATCATCAACATTTTGATGAGTCTCTTGAATTTATCTTATGAATGCCCAATTTGTCTGTTTTAGACTTTTAAAATTGAAAAATGTGTGTCTCTAACCGCATCAAATTTAAATTGGTTCTTTCTTTCTCACCTGTTGCCTCTCGGTTTACCTTTATTCTACTCACGCTCTGCTTGTCCCTCCCTCTCTCTTTCTATCAGAGATAACTTGACTAACTTTCTAAACTTCATGGGGCACATTTCCTATCAGTGTGACAAGCTGTTAGGGGACAAAGAGATGATAACTTTCCTCCAGACGGAACGCTACGACATCACCATCCTTGATGCTTTTAATCCCTGTTCCTTCATTCTGGCACACAAACTTGGTACATTTGCTGTTCACGTCACTTTTGTTTATTTAATGAGTCATCATTTAAATCTTAATATTCCTACAGTAATATATTATTTACCAAATACCTTGCCACTTACGTTATTTGTTGATTTAAGATGTATTTAAATGTGCAATTTCAAACAAACTGTGCGCTCGATTCACCGTGTTTTTATTTTAAATCTATCAACAGCTATAAATAGATCAACAGCATCTTGAATGTTCCATGCACTCTGCTCTTTACTCCAGGTGTCCACTATATAGCTTTCTATCCTGGCACTCTGAATGGTCCTCTGTCCATCGCGCTCCCCAGCCCGGTCTCCTACATCCCAGTCTTCAGCTCCCAGCTATCCGACCACATGAACATCTGGGGTCGTGCAAAGAACCTCTTTTATTCTTTCCTGGCACCTGTAGGTAAGAAAGGCGTTACACAGGAGATCGCACTGATCGCTGGCTTGCTGGCTTGCTTGATAACACTCATGTTCATTTGTATGCTGTACTTGCCAGTAGCACTTATTGATATTCTGAACGAGTGCCTTTTTTGATATCGTGAAAGATTTTACATTTTATTTCTTCTAATTTCTCATTCTTCTCTCTTTTGTAATATACTGACTCTGTATTAGTACTTTAAAATTACTACGTATCTCACATTTTACCCATACCTTTTCAGCTAAGTTCAATATCCTCTAATGACATTAGCACACCACTAAAGTAACCTACAGTAAACCGTTCTTTTTTTTTTTAATCAGCTCAATTTCCTCCATAGTGTACATTTTTACTGATATTCCATTGAGACGAATTGTACATGTGGTGAGAATGTTTAAATTAGGTCTCATCTTATTTAAATCTGTGGTCTTTGTTCTATTCTCACATTGTTTGCATCTGCATTAGCCTACTCTCTCGGGGATAAGACTGTTTCTTATCTTAATGGCATTTCCTTCTTTCATGATCTACTTGTGTTATTCACAACTAGCCACTAAGTGTTTTGCAAATACCCATTAACAAGAAATTATATAATAATAATATAATAATTATATCTAAATGGCTTTCAACATATAATGGGCATACAACGTTGGTGCTTTTTGATTGTGTCTTGTTTCTTATTTCAAAGGGCAGGAACTTGTATGGTCGACATTTAGGGATGTAGCTGAGCGCCATCTCGAGTCCGGCTCACCCCCTGGTGGTCTGGAGGAGTTACATCAAGGAGCTGAACTCTGGGCCTTCAACACTGACTTTTCACTGGAGTTCCCGCAGCCCCTTATGCCTTACACCGTGCTGGTGGGAGGTCTGCTGAATAAACCTGCGAAGCCTCCGGAACAGGTCTCTTCTCTTGATGCACATATCCAAATACATCAGTGAGACTCAGATTTTCAAAGCCTTCCTTCTCTCTCTTTACCTTTCTCTTCCTCTGGACTTTTACTCCTCCCTATGCACAACCATCTTTCTCTTATCCTGTCATACTCAACACAAACAACAACAACGCAAATTTCCCTTTGCATCTATTCCCTTGATTGCCCATACCCCAACCTTTTTGATCCCTTAGGATCTTGAGCTGTGGATCTCAGATCTCGGAGAGGTAGGTTTCATTGTTGTGACTCTGGGATCAATGGTCTCTTCGATCTCTGTGGAACCTCTGCTTGTGGAGCTTGTGGCTGGCTTCTCCAGGATCCCTCAGGGGGTGCTCTGGAGGTAAAACAATGACACAATTTATAGATGTAAGAACTAAAAAAAATGTATACATCATTTTTAACATTTTGTGTCACAGATCAACATTTTCATAAATACATAAATAGGGATTAAAGCATACACAATATGAGTCATGTAAATATGAAATCAACCACAAGAACAAACAAAAACATATTAATGTCAGGATGTTATGGGAAGTTATAAACCTGCAGTGTTTGGCTTGCAGGTATGACTCCCAGCGATGGCCATCTCACCTGGACAGACCTCACAATCTCAGACTAGTGGATTGGCTGCCCCTTAATGACTTACTGGGTAGGAACAGTTTGCATCTCTTAGCCTAACTCTTCCTCTGTCTTAGCCTATCATATATCAACATAAAGGTGATATAGGGTAGATCGTCAAAAGCCTTGTTGATGCGGGCATTTTGGACTATCTGAAAGAAGACCAGAACAATGCATTTCAGGAGAAATTCCTGTCAGACACAGCAGGGCCAATACTGCTCCAGAGGATGACTGGGCCCCTGCTGCACTGCAGCCCCATTCTTTCCTTTTAATATTTAAATAAATCCCACAAGACTCAAGTGCAATCATGGCAATGAAAATGGCCGTGTTCACGTGTGTACATCCCCCCATCCCTTGTTAAATATACTGTTGGCAGTGGTTTAGTCCATGTTTTTAAACCCTAACCTATAAGACAGACTGTTCTCATCTATAGGTTTTATCAGTCTCTACTACACCCAAAGTACTTTCTTTACACAGTAAAGCTTTCTCTATTTTTCTGTTTACCCCAGGTCACAAAAAAGCCTGTCTCTTTATCACCCATGGTGGACAAAACAGCCTGCTGCAGGCAGTGTACCACGCTGTTCCTGTGCTGGGAATCCCTCTGTTTGGAGACCAGTTTGATAATATGGTGAGGGCTGAAACGAAGGGACTTGGCCTCACCATCAACCCCACACACATCACCAGGGAAGTGCTCAGCTCCACTATTCAAACACTCATACAGGACATCAGGTATGTGAATGGATAGCTAGGTAATATTTGTGATGCCAGTACAGAGATGTCTGTAACTCCACCCCCTTTCGCTTGTCTTTATTTTTTCTAATAATTTTTTCTTCTCTAGGTTCAAGTCTACAGCTTTGTCCCTTAGCAGGATCCACAAATCTCATCCTGTCCCTCCAGCCCTTCGACTCATCCAGTGGGTGGAGCACATCCTGCACAGTGGAGGTGGAACTCATTTAAGGCCAGCTTCACTGGCGCATCCATGGTACCAGAGATACCTATTGGACCTGGTGCTTCTTCTCTCCCTGGTGCTTCTTGGACCTGTAGTTCTCTCCTGGACTTTTTGTAGGAGCAGGAATAGCAGGGATAAACACAAAAAAATACATTAGCGACACCTCAGAGACAAGTCAGATTTATACCTTAGTTCTGTGTTACTGTTTTATCTCTGACTTATTATGTACTGAACCAATATGAGAACTTGCTAACTTGAATTCCCTCTACCCTAAAATACTGCAGCTGTTCAATAAAAAAAACATGCTTGTTATAAGTGGTTTCTACAATCCACCTTTAAATACATAAAACAAATAAGTGACTGGCATGTTGATGTAGGAGACCTTCGCTTTGACACAAGTGATGGGCCCAGAAAATATATCCCTGAAGGACAAAAATATAAGGGTATAGAAAGTATAAAGATGTTTTTCTTATTACAAAATATCCCCTTTAATTATCAAAAGTAAGGTTGAAAAGTACTCCAATTTATGCCATTAATACTATTGCTCAACTTTTTAGGTTGAGTACTTTTTTTTCCTTACTGAAGAGCTTCACTCTGTATTCGCAGTTTCACTTTGGTGGAATAGCCCTAATGCCGATTGTCCTGCCCTCTCCCCTCCCAGCGCCTACCAGACGTCTCATTTGTAAAGCAGCGCCACAATGTCCAACACTTCTGTGCTACTTTGACCTGGCTGCACTGCAAGCAGGGCTGGTTGACATTACGCACGCAAACACACACATCCACCCTAACTAAGCAATGCTTTTGTGTTGTTGCATGTACCAAAGTGTGAGAGTGAGCGTTGTGTGCTGCTTTGCTTGCCTATGTATGTGTAGACAAAGCGTGTTGTGAGTCATAGAATACACCTGAATTCTCAAAAGTCTGCTCTACCTGCAAAGTGTGTATCGCATGTGTGTGTGTTTGGGGCAGCGTTATGGTCTACTGGCCCTTGAGTTATTAACCACCAGCAAATTCTCAACTCTGACCCCCACACCCTCCTCTGCTGGTTTCCACTGAGTCTCCTTCCCCCTTCTAAACATGACACAAAAGCACATAGCAATGTTCATGGTCAGCGCTTGGAGGACCCCCCACCCACCTACCCACCCTCTCCTGCCCCGTTCTGTTCCCCCTTCCACTCCTCACATCTGTGTTGGGGGTTAGTAGGGAGGAAAATATAGATTAGCAAGGAAATAATGACCAATTAGGACAGCTTGTTCTCTGTCCATTCAACTGTCCATTATTTGCCTGCATTTCATTTGTCTGTTTGTCTGGCAGTTGCAGGTGCCAGTGAGTCTTCCTCTGTCTCGCACGCAATCCAAAACAGGCAAGGCAAAGCAGCCAAAGCATGATGGGACAGGACCACTGGGAGAAAAAAAAAAGGAAAGAGGCTATAAAAGGAGACTTTAATGAAGCAGAAGAAGGATACACCAATGCAAAATAGAATACATGAAAATTGTAGAGCAGAGAAGAAACAGAAGAAACAAAGGGAGAAACAGAAACTAGAAAAAATAGTGATCACAGTAAAACAGACAACATAGACATCTGTCCAAAATGTAACCTGTGTCACTTTTCTCTGTTTAATACTGTAACTGCAATTAATTTACAGTTACATGTTTCTCATGTTTGGGATAAGCTGGAAGAGCAATGATCTACACATTTTATTTACTACAACCGTGACACTTAGTTCAAAACAGTTTAACCAGTGGTATCAAGATGAAATCAACAAAAATAAAATTTCCTGGTGATAACTGCATCGCAATGTCATACACTAAAAGGTACGATGGAGCATGTAGAAGTTAAGTAGTGATGTAATGGTTGTAGAAGTTTAGTCCTTCAAACATTAAGATTTTTATCTGCTCTTTTTTGAAAAAGTCTGTGATGTGAATTTTGTATATGCGTGGGAAAACGTACGTTTGAACGAACTTGTATCTGGCATTAAAAGTGCCTGTGCGATTGCATAAAGGATGTAGTAGTAGCATGTTGCCATGAGTTATGTCTCAGTAAAATGAATGACGGTGGGAAGTTAGGGTTGTTTTGGAGCTGAGAGCAAATCACTGGGGCTGAATAAGTTCTGTAATTACTGAATATCAACACATTGTCCTTGGTACAATGGTAATGAATCTGATAGGCTCCAATGTAAACCCTTGCTGAGTGACTTCCCTGATATTAACAGGACAAATGGGGAGACGGTAGGAGACTGTAGAGAGGGTACAACTGCATTAATGTACTGGGCTGGAGTTGTCTGTTGTTTGTAGATTAGAGCCCCATCTAGTGACCTGAGAAAAAGTCTTGAGAGTGAGACTTGTGCCTAAGGAATCATGGCTTCCTGGAATTAACCCCAATTCCTGAATTAGGTAACCAAGTAAATGTATTCAGATACCGTTGTTAAAGTTATAGCTTTTATGATCTGGTAGGCCTACATTACTACCAATTTATTAGTATTAAGGTCCACTAGATTTGCTCCATGGCATTTTTCTGTACGCTACTTTGCACTGAGTTGTAAGTTTATTAGGTCCTACCGGTCTAATACAACAGCCTTGCAATAAATCCTTACTTCATTAGGGTTGAACATTAGGGTTGAATTGTTGCAATATAACAAGAGGTGTTTATAATGCTTACTCTGTCCTCATTTATATAGATTGGGTGAACAAAATATTAGAAAGACCTGCCAGAAACTGAAAAAACACAAGCATTAGAAGCTCTATTGTATTAATCTGCATTAGTTTTGGCTAGGTGTAGCTAATCAACAGGCGATGATGTATGATGAAGCCAAAAATATGATTCATTGCTATGGATTACATACCCAGAAATATTTAATACGGGCATTCTACAGTTTTAATATACTGCTTACAGGGGAATGCTCCTGAACCAGCTACAAGATTAAAATGCTGTTGACACATCATTGCATAAAAAAAAATCTAGTAATATAATACATACAATAATATAAGAAAGGGACCGTTGTACATAAGGACTTTATTATGTATTTTTAATGCTGAATCTCTCCACATAATGGAGTATTTTTGGCAAAGTAGGCCTATTGCTAAGATCTGAGTATTTCTTCCACCACTACTTCTTCTTCCAGTATCTTCAACCAAGTCCAGTTGCCCTTCATTTTAACCCTCGTTGGATCACCACTACTTACTTTTTCTTATTTTAAATATTTTATTTATATTCAGAGGTTATGTACATTTTTAAATAAAATGTCATATTTGAAGGCAGCTGCCATGAGGGGCGCAATGTCATTTTAAGAGGGTGTTGCTCATTGATGGCTTGTGACACGCACGAACCCGATTGGTCAAAGTGCTGTAGCTTGATTGGTCAGTGTTGACAACGTGGGCGTGGTTAGACGTCAATGTTTATGTAGCCCGCTGTCAGTGTATGTAACAGCAGCACCAAGGACTCTGCGATGTGATTTCTCGACGTTGATTTGTTTCTGTATCATTTTCCTCGCTGTCTTCACCACATTATGCACCAGCTGTTGATACGGGGACCCATTTGCAGGTGAAACACGGAGGAAACGGAGGAAAAAGCCGGGATGGCTGGCCCCTTTGGGTTCAAAGGCTGCCAGAAAATCCGGGGTCCGCAGATTAGAAATCTGCTTGAAGCGAAGGACTTCATTCTCTTTGACTGCGACGGGGTCATATGGCACGGAGAGAAGGCGATCACGGGCGCAGCGAAGGTGGTGAGCTCGCTGATCCAGCACGGGAAAAACGTGGTGTTCGTCACCAACAACAGCACCAGGCCCCGGGAGAATTATGTGCACAAGTTCTGTCGGCTGGGCTTCACCGACGTGATGCTGGACCAGATCTTCAGCTCGTCGTACTGCTCGGCTCTCTACCTGAGAGACGTCGTCAAGATCTGCGGCCGGGTGTTCGTCATCGGCTGCGACGGACTGCGCAGGGAGCTGCAGGAGGCGGGCATCCCCTGCGTGGAGGAGGCGGACGATCCGGACGCCACCATCTACGACTGCGCCCTGGCTCCGGACGTCAAGGCTGTGCTGGTGGGACATGACGATAAACTGACTTTTCTCAAACTGGCCAAAGCCTCCTGCTTCCTGAGGGACCCGGACTGTCTGTTCCTGGCCACCGACAACGACCCCTGGCACCCTCTGTCAGGTGGAAGGATACTGCCAGGTATGGTGGTGGTGATGAAACCCAGTGTATTTTGTAATAGTGCCCATCATAGATCGATTACTGAAAGGACCTACAGGCCTCAGGCCCAGGAGCCCAAGGGGTCTAAGCTAGAGTCTCAGTCAGAAGCAACTGTTAAAAGCATTTCTCATTGATTTGTATTATAGTTTTTTTTTTTCTCAACACAGCTGTACATTGCATACTTAAGCTACAGTAAATCTGTATTATACATGAGCAGTTTAAATGTGTGTGCTAACTTCTACGTTACACACGTATTTTGTCAAAACGACATGGTGTTCACTGTGATGGATTACCCATGGTTGAATGGGGGGGATCCACCTTACAAATGAGGCTCCCTTTGACCGCCGTTCTTCTCACTCTGTGCATTGTTTACCCATCACCCTAAAGGGGCCCACAATGTACACACAGGCTATATACATGGCAGCTTCATTACAGTATACTTAGCCTAGAGGTACTGACCAGTACTCCTATGCTGAAATACCACTTGCTTCAGCTTTCTGCCATTTTTAAGTGAATCTGATTAAACACACATTTATTTAGGTGCGACTACGCATGTTAGTGCAAGATGAATTGATATGTTAAAAGGTATTCAAACTATTTTGCAAGGCCTCAAGATTAGATGATAATGCCGGAATGCCTTTATAGCTTTGGCCATGTATATTGGCAGACAGTGTACATTTAATTACCAAAAACCTTACAGGGCCCCAGGGAACTGTGGTGACAGTTCTGCAGGTTGATTTTTATGAATTGAAACCAGTGGCTGCCTGGAAAACAGCAATACGGCATTCAGAAATCTAAAAACATAGCTGATGGGAGTAATGTAGCCTTATGTAGGCTATATTATACTATCAGTAGTATGCTAGCACATGCAAAACCACAGTACTAAACCCAGTAATCAGCATTGCAAAATAAATCCCTGTATATCTATCTCCTGTTTTGGTGTTTCTGACAAAGTTGCTCTAGCCACTGTAGATAACTGAATACACAACATCTAATTTGTAACAAACATACTTGAAGGAGAGGGTTTAGTAGGTGGTTAGGGGAGAGGATGTCTCTTAAAGTTCACTTTTAATCTAAACTTGCTCGTCTTTACCTCCCCGGCAGGTTCTGGGTCCCTCACTGCAGCCCTGGAGGTGGCCTCGGGTCGCAAGGCCACTGTGATCGGCAAGCCCAGCCGCTTCATGTTCGAGTGCATCTCCAGTCAGTTCAGGGGGGTGGACCCCGCCCAGTGCCTGATGGTCGGGGACCGCCTAGAGACAGACATGCTGTTCGGGTCCAACTGCGGCCTCGACACCATGCTCACTCTCACCGGCGTGTCTCAGATCGAGGAGGCCCAGGAGTACAGTAATAGTGAGCTGACCACCAACCAGAGCCTGGTGCCCAACTACGTGGTGGACACCATTGCTGATTTCTTACCTGCTTTTGAACTGGACGAGCAGAGCGAATGACGAGTCCTCGCGACTCCAGTACGGAGCACAGATTGCTCCTACTACATATTAAGTGCAATGTTTAGTGTGCCGTTTGCAAAAAAATCCACATTTCTCATCAAGAACTATAAATGCTCCTCAATACCAAGACACATGTAGGACAGAATATTCCCCCTCCCAAAAAAAATAGCGTAATCCAGTGCATACCTCAGTGTTCCTTCTAGTGTTGTGCCCATTTGTGAATTGACAGTTCCTCGTTGCTGTAAGTGTTTATATTAATATCCGAATATACTGCACTTTCTTGTCCATAGGTTGTGTTTGATATCCGGTGTTGAACATCCAGAGGTATTTTTGTAAAGCCATGAATTGTTCTGTAACGGCATTCATGTGTTTAAGAGCTGGTTATTCAAATTTATTATAATTTTTTTTTTTTGCCAAAAAGCAGACATGTACTTACTAGTGCAGAATTGTTTTGTCCTATGTGTTTGCCTAGGTGTGACTTCTCCTTGATTAATTCATGGCAAGAGGAGAAAATAAAAACTAAAACTGTGCAACTCCGCTCTGGTAGAGACTAAGATGACAATCTGCCAGTCAAGACAGGTGAAGTGTATATTCACTTTTGGCCTTTCTGTCATGTCTGTGCATCCTGTGCCAATATTCATCTGAGTAAATAAAGCAGCTTGCTGAATCTCATAGTTAGAAAACCAGTAGCAGATTAATGGTGGCTGCTCACACTGCACTATTGTGAAATTTCAATGTTGTTAATGTTTACCATATAGAGCATGCCAGCAACGGTAACAAAAATAAATACCTGAAATGAATGCTAAACATGATGTTGTTCATTTGTTGAAGACAGTGACGTCCTGCTATTACAAATGTCCTTATCTTCTGTTTGTTTTGTGTCTATGCATCTACAGCAAGCATGATAAGACCACCACAATCAAAATACAATAGTTCTTTAATCATTTAAATCCAGTAGTTCACATGAACTCAACCACATTTCACTCAGTACTATTGCAATTTGATATCCAGCATCTCCTCAGCCTTGTTCAGCTCCAAAGGAACCTTCCAGTAATGTTCTTCTCTGTACCAGAGCCTCATGCTTAGATGTGGGTATGGTGGTATTATTGCACGTGAAGCTCTAACTGTATGACAAAATTAAAACTCAGAAAAACCCTGCGTTAAGCTGGTATTATGTTAAACTAATGTTGAACAAAAACCAGAAATCTGTAAGGAGTAATTGCAGTGAAGTAAATAAGGAAACCCTGTAAGCTATAGTTATGGCTTTGCTGCGTGTAACACAATGAAGATGTCCCTTTAGTATGAACTTCAAATACAATTAAGATTTAACATCTAAAAAAATAAACATATGTACATTTTAAACAGGATTAATGAAGTACTTTATTCTACATCATGTCTCATGTGGCATTAGGCTCTCTTGGGCTGAGGAACAGAATTAAAGACACGTACTGATCTCCAACGGATAAGGTTTGGTTGAATCGCTTCATGTCACTCGGGTCCACCGCGCTGTGGCAAAGAAAATAGAACAGAATACAAATCTGGTAGGTCAAAGGTTGCTACGTAGGTTTATCTTAAACCACAGACAAAGGTTATGTTCTAACTGACACCAAATTAAATGTCCAAGCAAAGAATTTTCCTTCTCCTTTTCACTACCTCCAGCCACCCTGCTTGGTTTTGAAAAGGCCAAATTGTCAGTGAAATGCTCTAGGTATAGTATATAGCAACATAGGTGGTCCGTGAATCCTCACCTGGATGTAGTCCATTTCTTCCACTGTCAACGGTCTCCTGCGGTATCTCGAAGTTAGTTGCTGAATAGAGGCCATGGTGTCTGGCGTGCCAGGGATTGGGGTCAAAGGTACATGAGGTCTTGATAATGGAGGCGGCGCTGCAGCTGAAGGGGAACCCGGAGAGTTGTGTGGTTGGAAGTTAACTGCTAACGTTTTCAACACCTCTTGTGCTAGAAAAAGGAAAGGAAAAAAAGTGACTATTGATAAAAGGAGAAATCATCAGACATTAAAAAGAGAGGGTAGACTACAACTGTTTAGACCTTAATGTCAAATTTCTGGAGTTTTAATTAATTCAATCCTTGTTAAATGTTTTAAGTATGATGAATATTTCATCTATCAGAGTTGTAAAAAAAACAACAGTTCTTATGTTGGCCAAGCTGTAGGTTCAAATGATAGTTGTTGAAGTAATTATCTACCGCTGGATACCTTTACACTGTTTAGACTGTGTTATTTCAAACTTTACTTTTACTGTAAATACAGTATCTCAACTTGAAGTGATGTTGACATCGGGCCAGTCTGGCACACAAAGAGAAAATACACCATGAAACAATCAAAAAGGCCAGGAAATATCAGTTAAACCACCAAGGGTGGGTTTCTTCATTTGGGTCAACATGTCAACTATCTGACCATTATTCACTTTCTTCATACTTACCATTGGGCTTTGGGATGCCTTGTCTATTGGGGAACTTGATCAGAGGAGCGTGAGGCCGAACAGCCTGCAAACACACACAATATTCCCACTTGTTTTGTCTGCTGAATTATAGAGGTATCTGCTGCTGAGGCTGAGAAACAATATACCGTGGAGGTGAAAAGAATTTGTTTGTGGTGCTTTACATTAGTTTTGTTTCTCAGGATAATTTATTCACATCAATTTGGACAGAGAAGTTGTTTTTAAACCTTAAACCAGGAAGTGCAAAAAGCTACCTGCAAGGTGTGTGGATTACCTGAGTAACTGGGACTTACAAATGTCATTCTGAAAGTATTTCAGTGGCAGATGCCTCGAAACGAACACGCCATTTTTGTGATTTAACTGTAACTCTTCAGAGATGACCGTAGCCTCACACTGACAGGAGACTAACACAACATGTACTAAGATTACAGTACTTTTTGTCTGTAGTACTGTTAAAACAAATGATCAGAGAAAAAAAACTGACTGACTACAATTTCAATAATCAATGAATCGCAAAAGCAAAAGTGCTAGATCCTGGTCCTAGTTTCTACGATTTGACCGTTGCATAGTAGCATAATTCAACTGACGTTGTCATTGTGAACAGATTATCTTTTGGTTTTGGACTGAACAAAACAAAGCAAATTTGAAATGACGACTTGGTATGCAAAGTATTGAGAGGCATTATTGTACAACTATTTTCAGACGTTACAGACTAAAGAATTCATCAATAATTTAAAAAATGAAAAGATGAATTGATTATGTAAATAATCATTAGTTTCTGTTAAAATCCATTCCAGCATTGTTTACAAATTTGTTGGGCAACTGGGCTACAAATGTAGAAGTAAAACAGCTGTCAGATACAGTCTCCTTCTCATTGAGCAACAGAATAGAAGAAAGTAAACATTGAGTGAGTAAATGACAAACTCTCCCTATGTTATTTTTAGGTGTCCATTTTTCAGCTCTGGACAAAGTTATCTACCTCCTGAGTAGATCTCAGTTCAGCATTCAGCCTTAACAGACTGGGCTAACAGCGCAGCCAGAGCAGTGAAAATGTAGTTTAATGTTAATATTGATGCTGCTGTGTCAACATGATGAAATACATGGCTGAGAAGGACAAAAACAACAAGGGTACGACATTGCTTCGTCACCCCTAGAAAAGGCCTCACTAAAATAAACCAGCAACTGTTCACAAAGCGACGTTTTTATTTAGACAACGTTTCTCTGAGCTCAACACACCGACATCTCGAGTAAATGACATTTTCAGGAGCAACGTTACCTGGATCACTCGGGCGGTGGGAGCAGCCATTTTGGAGCTGACTTTGCTCCCCATCGCGACCTCACGTTTACTTCCGGTATAAAAAGCTCCTTGCAGCTGCTGAAACACACCCCAAGATGGCGCTGTTATCGTTGAAAACACATCACATATATACCATAACAACACACAGCGGTCCTCAAGACGCAGCTAGCTATGTGATAAAGGTGCAGGGGGGTGACATGGCCCGCACGTCTTAATGTTACACATGAATGCATCAATAGGAGACTGAGCTTTACAAGATAAAGGCACAGTATTAATCTCCATGACGCATTTAATTAAGACTAGAACACGTACATTAATGTTTTATTAGCTATAGCTTACATCTATGTCTTTACCTTTCTGGTAATGACAAGCAGTCGACAGATGTGTTGTCCCACTGGTTGTTCTGCTAGGTCAGATCCTCAGGCCATGGTGCAGCCGGGTTGTAACTGTAAGTCAGCCTCGTGTCAATAAAGGACATATAAAAATGTACCAAAGACCTTAATCCTCTAATTTACAAAGCAAAACCATTCGAGGTAAGGCTTCAAAGGCCTGTAGTCTCATAAAGCAATTAAAAGGTTCGGTGCCTGTGTTATATCGGGAAATGTCAATACAAGACTACTGTCTGAATATCACACCATATACCATATATCTTTTAATTTCACGTCGCATTGAAAAGAAAAAAACGGATAACCTGGTCAGATGATCAAGGCTTGTCCAATCAAAGACGAGGAAGTCAGAAGAGATGTTTCATACGAGAAGATGTGTCACCAGCACAAGCTAAAACACAAATCTCCCATGCTGCAGTGCACAAGTACAAAGCCCAGTATTTACACTGGAGATACACATCAAATCACTCCACTAGGCTATATAACAGGCCACTGAAACCGCATCAATAAACATAGCTTAGTTAAATATATCTTATTTAACACTGCCCTAACATAATGCTTAGGCCTCTTAAGGGAAAACAGAAAGGTCAAAATCAAAGCAGATATTTTGTCCCTCTTATGGGATCGAAATGCTGTAACCTATTATTTCCATAGGGTAACATCTTAATAACACTTAAATGTCTGAATGTCTTCTAAACTCCATGCATGCCCCTAAAGCAGACTTACTGCCTTATAAAATACTTTATTCTAACGTTTTCATGAAAAGTAAACTCACTTGATCTGAACTTGTAATATCACCCTTAAATACAAAAAAATGAAACCTTTTAACAGAAAATAGCCTACTAAATAGCAAGTACGTTGTACGTTGTTGTACGTTGGTTTGTGGAGGTTTAAACCTTCGATGACACATAATGGGTTTAAAATGATTAACGCAGTGCCAACTTGTAACAATTAGGCGACTGCTAGCTGATGGCACATCTTTCCTATAAGGCTCTTTGTGGCCAATGTCAAGCATAAGGGCCATGTTGTCAGAACACCGCCATCTACTGGATTCCTCATTCATTTTACGATTATCTGAAGCCGTGCAAAGTTGAGGGTCTGTCTTTACTCATGTGTAATTATTCCACATTCAGGAAAAAAAGCCCATCTCCAGCCCTTGAACCACAGTGTGGGACTAAGTGATTCCAAAATTTTTATGTTCTGACATTATATTGTGGAGACTGCAGAGAGAGAATTGGCTTTTTCCATGGCAAGAATAAGCCCACTTATGTAAACTTAATCATTAAATGTTATCCTCATTGCACTAAGGCTTTGCTCTATTACAACATGTCTATATTATATTTGTCCATGCATGATAGTTCTGTCCAAAAATAACTGTGTACATGTTTGTGTACATGATCACATATCTACAGAAGGTGAAATTGATAAAGCAGATATTGAAAATATCTACCAGCCCGCCTCCACCTGCCCATCCACAGCAAGAAACTACATCACAACAGCCTATTTATTAATTCACATTTTATTAGATACTTTTAATTAAACAAACTGATCCAGAGTCATGAAAAAACAAACGGTCCTAATCTTAACATGGGCCGTCTCCTAACTTGAACTACAGATCTGCAATCAGCAGATGCACAGAACAGTGCTAGTCTCAAGTGAAGATTCGGCCCCTGACAATATGTTTGTTAGGTGCAGCACTATGTGCAGATCATCATCGTCAGTAGCTCAACGGCACGGCTGTTTGACTCAGTTCTGCAGCCAGGTCCGAAGGAGACAGACTGACTCAGTGGGTCTTTGACCTGTCGAATAGCTGCTTGAGTTGGTCCTGAGAGGTGGCCTCTTTCTGCTGCATAAGATCAGTGTGGCCCTTGGTAATACCCCAGCCGTCGGGGGCAGACATGGAGGGACACAGGGGGCGGCCAGAGGCTGGCTTCAGGTTCTCCCAGTAGTCACGACGGGCTCTAAAAGAGACGAAAAGACAGTAACACTCATAACAGTTAGTACTCACTGGTGCTGAATAACTCAAAATTTCACATGTGACTGAGTTTAGCAGCATCTTTTTGGTATTCAGTGACTACCAGTGAGATTAAAATATTAAAAGTTGCTCCTGACCTGGCTCTGACCCAGGGCTTGGTGTGCATCTCCAGACCAGCTCCCCAGCTGCCGTGTTTCTCTGATGCAGCTGGGAGGAAGCCTCTCTCAGGGGCCAGCTCCTCTGCCACAGCCCTGATGTGATAAGGCTCAAATCCACAGCAGCCACCAATGAAGCGGATGCCACCGTTGTAGGCCTCTCTGGCGTAGTGGTGCATGTCCCAGCGGGTCAGGATCCTGGGCTCCAGACCTGACAGGAGATTCTGGTTTTATACACATTTGACTGCAGGTTGGTTGCTTTTGGTGAAATTGTGTATTTCTCTGTTGAACGGTTGACCTTGCTCCAATGTAATGCAGTACATGCACACTGAGAAAGAATGTGCGTTAACTTAATGGTGACAATAAAATGCAACACAGTTTAATATTACCGAAGGGGAATTCTGGCAGATCGATGAATCCCTGACAGCTGCAGTCAGGAGTGTGGTATGCCAGGGGCTGCACCATGTAATGAGCCTTCAGTCCGGCCTTTTCCACTCCCTCCTTCATCATCTTGACAGCTTTCACGCAGGTCATGGGGTCAAAGTGGCAGTTGACTCCAACAATCTGGGCACCTACAGCAGAACATGCATTAGTGTGAGCTGGCCATTACAGATAAGCAATGTAGAAGAGACAACACCAACTGTGCCTTGAAGTTGTGGTTGCAAGGTTTGGGAAGATGACATTTTAAATTCGGCTGATTCCTTTTAATGGCAAACATTTTAAAGCTGGTGACTTAATAGAACAACTACTGGACACAGTTTTGGCATGTAGAGTGGTCCCAGTTATCAAATCATAACACCAGTAGATGACAGAAGTGTCATGTCAGGAAACACTGCCACACACAACAGAGAGGTCAGGTGAGGACAAGATGACCTAATTTGAACAAGTTTAAAGTTAAATATCAAGTTTTGTGCTTCTCCTACATTACCTTCCAGCATATAAAACCTGGAACTACAATTTAGATCATCTATTAAGAAAAAAAAATGTGGCTATCCCTTTTAGATTGAGCTCCAAAAGTAAATTGTGCTCATGGGTTTAGTTTAGAGAGCTCTGTACCCACCGGCTTTGACCAGCCTGACAGCACACTGTCCAGGGGAGATACCATGCATGTCTCCCTCTGGTCCGATACACAGAGACGCAGCCACAGGCTTCCCTGTCTCCTTCAGCACCTCCACAGCCCACACGGCCTCTTCAACATGCTCAAAGTACTGCCGGACAGAGACATCAGCACTAAGTCAAACCATGTTCCTGGCATGACACGGCTTTCATAATTAACAACATACACCAGAAAATGGCTAAATATTGTGGAATAAATGCAGTTGCCCTTATGGTTAAGTGGTGTTTTGGAAAGAAAACCTCTACCTCAGCAATCAGGAAGTCCACATTTTTCTTGATGAACACATCCAGCTGTTTCTTGAAGCTGGCCTTCACCTCTGTCTCACTCTTGCAGCTCAGGTAGGACGGAGTCTGAGACACTCCTCCGGCAACCAGAGCGTCGCCCTCATTGGCAACCTCACGGGCCAAATCGCAGGCGGCCTCGTTGATCTGAGCTCCCTGCAGGTCAAAGTCAATTTATGGTGAAACAAAGGCAAGAAAAGCCACCTGTATAATATTCTGTGTATTCCTGTGTAAGTGGTGTGATGTCCCAATTAACTCACAGTGAAGGTGAGCTTGTTCCCTCTGTTCTCCAGTTTGTCATCACTGGCGTAGAAGGTGAAGGTCTGCATAACGTTGGACCCGGCCCTCAGGAACTCCCTATGCAGCTGTCGCACTGAAAATCATCAAGCAAACAGATTATCATAAGGTGAACATACTAACAAATCCATCTAAACTGTGGCACATAATGCATAAGGAAAAGTAATTTGCAAGGAACACTTGCAAAAGATAATGAAGACAAGCCATTTTAAGTTGTAACAGAGTATTAAAGTTGGTAACACAGCTTGTTCTCACCTGCTTCAGGGTGCTCTGCGGCAGCTTCGGGTGTCCAGGGGCCGGCCTTCACGTAGCCTCTCTTCTCCAGGGCAAACACAAAGCCTCCATCGCCGATCACGACCTCCCCACCATCAAGACGCTCCAAGATTCCCTGTGATAACGGATCAATGCAGAGTGAATATGACTAGAGCCACTGAGCGCAAAGGGTCTGCAGGCTTTCATTCAAAGAACACCAGCTGGGACCAGTGTGCTCCCTTCCAGTATAGATCCTGTACAGCATTATGTCCCTCCTCTGGCCAGACTGACTCTGCTTAGATACCAGAAATAAACAGAAACGGATATCTGTGTAATATGGATCATGCATAATGGTTTCCCCAATTCAGTGCCACACACACCTTCTGTCAATGACGGAATCATCAAGAAAGCAGCTTATGTGTGAGAACAGCTGCGCTGCTGGTAATGACAGATTGAGCTGCACCTTTTCCAACATGCTTGGCTGTCAAAGTAAAATTTAGACTTTGTGTGAGCTGTTAGGTTGCCTCAGTCTGAAAAGACCCTAATTATTACACTTTAGACTCTGTGTCTGTCTGTAAAATGCATTCAGTCAGAAAGTGTAAACTGTGAATGCTATTACTGTGATGAGTTTGAATTCACTGCAGTGGTACTTGGTATTTATTTAGTTATTTGTTTATTCACATAATTCCGCTTTTATTTAAAATGATTTTACTTCTACTACTTTAATTTACTAAAATATTTTTACTTTTTAGAGTATTTCAGAATGCAGTAGATCAAAAAACCTATATGTGTGCTGAAATCTAACTAATTTTAAGAATAAACACCTTAACCTCCAGGGCATTGGGATGGAGTCAGAGATCTCAGACACCTGGACAAATAAAGCCAATCTATCTGCATGGCTAGATACTACTAGAATAGGTGAGAAAATATGTGTCTTTGCAATTTGTAATATTGCAATTTTGTCATTTGTTGTTTGTGGTTAATTTACCATTATATTACATTCAGTTGTTCAGTAACTGTTTCAGTTTGGAGCTCAAGAGAGACATCACACATATTATAATCATTGGCATTCCACAAAACTACCAGTTGTAATTCCATGCATGGAAATTCTGCTAGCCCACCCCGCCTTTCCACAAACATCCACACATACCTTCTTTCCCGTTGCCATAATACTGCTGCTCTGTGGACCCCTGACT